TCCAGTGTTCTTTGCTTCTTCTGCCACCGTGCGGCCGGCTGGAGGACAAGGCGCTGCCTGTAACACAAGCAATGGGCTTTGCGCGTCTCCAAATACCGTGTGGATTTTTACAGTATCCCATGTCGCATGAAGTCGATGGAGAGACACGAATTCCCATCGAGTCCTTCCCACCGCCGGACGGGTGCTACAGGTTTGTCTGCAGAGTCGCTCCAGCTCGAGGGAGGTCTCGTTAATCCAAGCGTGTAGGCTGGCAGCTCGTTTACTGCCCGGGCATGACCTGCCCATTGCCTGGCTGCTAGCAGCAGCCGGGAGAAGCTCTCGCTGCTCAGGGCCACCCTGTCCCCTGACAGCCGTCCCAGGGCCGTCTCCAGCTGGGACAGCGAGTGCATGCTCAGGGCTGCTCAGTCCTGGAGAGAGGCAGGGCTCTGCCGTGAGCCACAGGTACAGCTCAGCCTGCCAGGCGCTCAGGGGATGCCGAGGAAAGCTGACCCCATTTGTTCCCTTCACTTCTCCTGAATGGGACAAATCCTTCAGTGATTTGTGAAAGAGGTTTTATAAGAAATGAGAGCATTTTTGCCACAGATTCCAGCTGAGAATTCTTGTCTGTGCACACCTGAGACTCCCAAACCTGCCCTGCCAGCACGGGGTGAGCAGAGACACAGGACCAGGAGCTCACTGTCTGAAAGCGGCCAAAGCCACCCAGATTCTGTATCTGCTGGAGTCCTACCCCAGGACTCACTGTCTGAAAGCAGCCAGAGCCACCCAAATTCTGCTGGAGTCCTACCCCAGGAGCTCACTGTCTGAAAGCGGCCAAAGCCACCCAGATTCAGTATCTGCTGGAGTCCTACCCCATGTCCTGTAGCTGCTGGCCCCTCTGGCAGTGCCCACTGCCCCTTAGCAGGGCAGGCTGCCAGCTCCATGCTCCCCTCATCCCCATCTGCCCAAAAAACCAGGATTCCGTGGGAATGGCCAGCAGGGCTGGAGTGTTCGTGGGTGCCCCAGGGGGATTGCATCACTCTGCAAGCACCCGGGAGGGAGGGAGGCAGGGAATGCCTGCAGAGGGGTGTGCAGGCAGCCCTGCCTCCAGAGCTCCCCTGCAGCCCATCCCATCCCACTCCCCCAGCAGCACCTGGCCAGCACAGCAGGGCCTGGCCAGCAGTGTGTGATGGGCACACCACTCAGCACCCCCTGCAATCTATGGACACAAGCCTGGCCCAAAAAAATAAACATGGAAAAACCCCACAAAGTCACCCCAAACCTCTCCTACAGCTGCACTGTGCGTGGCAGGTGGGTGCAAGGTCCAGTAAAATGAGAGTTTGGGTAGCAAGAAAGATTTGTGCCAGCAGGGCAGATATTCAGGCTACAGTCTTGCTAAACTCAGCTGCACTGAAAGGTAAGTGCAGTTTAAGGTGAAAATTCTATCACAGATGAAGCCTGAGCTCTGATTACTGCAGCTGACTTCCAAATGAAAAGTTTTGGTTAATAAATTGGCTCTTGGTCCCACATCCAGAGATATCCTGTGGCAGAAGCCTGATTAATACACTGAGTCTTTCTCAAGAGGCACTTGGTCCTTATAGTGTGAAATAACCTGTTCAAATGTGCAGCAACTTACAGAATGACAATTTATGAAAGAAAATACCCATTTGAGTTAATAAAATCCCCCTTTCTAAAAAGAAGGCTTTTTTCTTTTTCAGAGGGGGAAAACCCAGCAAATATATTTGGTACCTGATGTGACAAATCTACACACCTCAGACTCCAGCACATTTCCTGATGTCCAAAGACAAACATAACCACTAAATTAATTTGATTATATCCTTCTTCCTTCTGCCAGCAACAAAGTCTCCAACAAGACTCATGCTCATTTAACCTAGAAGGGGAAAGTTTTCAGTTTCTCATTTTCCAGTCCTTTGTCTTCTCCCTCCTTACAAAGCATTAACAGCCTCCTTCATGACCATCAAAAGGGGCTTAGGGAGTTACTCTCAATAATTCCAGCCTTGTTTTTTCAGCACACATGACAGCAAGCACTCCAGGTCTAATTTTTAGTTTATAACAGATTTATAACAGATAACAAACCATCCAAAAGAAACTCTGGGCATGGCTGCTCCTTCTCATTATTCAGCATACTGAGAGCTGCCTTGAATCACATATATTGCAATATTTTGAATGATCTCTGAAAATCATCTGGACCCTGGTGGGCTCAACTGAAAAAAGCTGAGCCACTTCCCAACACTCACTTTTTCAGCTGGGAAACTTGCACAAGAGCATCTGGCACCCAGCCCACCCAAGTTAGTCAGAGGGTAGAACCTGCAAGCAGGAGAAAGTGTACATAGCAACCAGCTTCTCAAGTACAAAAACCACCCACCCCAGGCTTTTATCAACCTAACACCCATTCCAAGGTTTAAAATCCACTCACCTTCTTTACACATGTTTGTTTAAGCCTGTACATGCTAGAAGCAGCTTTCAGACAGCAGTGCAGCCCAGGTCAGACCCACAGCTAGCAGTGCCTCCCACGGCACAGCAAAGCCAAGGAGCAGGGGCTGCTCACCTTCCCCACAGCCACTGCTCTGCTGGGCTAACAGATCTATCTTCATTAACTTTTATACCTTTTTCACAAAGCAGAGAGGGGAGAGCTCCATGCAAAAGCCCCACACCACCCCAAAGGCCAGGCTCTGTACCCTCCCCTTTCTCTGGCTGTTTATATGCCCCAGGACAGCTGATGGGGTTTACAGATGGGTTGGTGGGGAATGAGAGTCACCTGCAGGCACCCCACAAGATGTGATCCATTCCATTTGCCTTTCCAAACACCCGTTAACCTGGATCACTTGCAATTAATTCCATTTACTGCCCTAAATCAGTGTTCAAATTGCAGTGTCTGAGATGCTCTCAAAAACCACTTGCTGGCTCCTTCTTCTATAAATTTGATTAGTGAAGAACAAAGGACTGCTCTGTTTTTAACACAGCACAAACCTCTGTCTCTTATCGAAGTTCCTGTCCTTTGTCAGGCCTGGTTGCTGATGGGTTTGCCACCCCACAGTCCCTGATGTGTGGAGCATCCCAGGAGAAGGCTGCCCTGCCCTGCCCCTCGGAGCATGGGGCTGATTCCCAAAGGGTGTCTCCATCAGAATCCTGGAAATGATTATGAAATCCACAACGGTTCCCACTCCCCTGGAACTGTAAAGTACCTGGGAAACCCACACAGTTTGGTTTTATTGAGACAACACAGCAGTGGTTGTAGAGCAGCAGAGGCGCCTGGACTCTCAACAAGAGCTGGCCATGGGAACCTCCTGCCCTGCCCGTGTGTGTGGGGCAAATCAAGGGCTCTCAGAGGAGACTTCAGAGTCAGCATCACCCCCCGTCCTCTTCTGGTGGGAGAATAAAGTGAAGTTGCTGGCTAAGCCCAGCCAGCGGGCAGAAGGTGGAATTGAATGACATTGGAGAATGCACAGCAGGGCCATGGTGGAGCCAGAGGGGCTGACAGCCTGGACCCATCTTCCAGGCTCTCTGCTGGCCTTGTGCTGCCTGGAAGGACTGGTGGTGTGCTGTGCCCAGGGGGGCTTGGCAGTGTTTAAACAAAAGAGCAGTAGTCTCACTAAACTTCAGCACACACGTTTAAATCCTGAGAGTGATAACAGCCACCAGAAAACAATCCCACTGTGCAAAGCAACCTTGGTATGAGGAGGTGGGAGGTGTATTCCCACAGGCACCTGCCGAAACATCTCTTCAGCTTCTCCTGGCAGCACACTAACAGCCACGAACTTCGGCAGAGCTCAGCCAGGTGCAGACTCCCTCCCTGCCTCCACCTCTGGTTCTCTCCACCCTTCAGGCTCAGAAGGACCCAGGCTGTGGAGAGAGCTGCTGCTGACCTTGCAGGCAGACGTGGGTCTGGGAGAGAGCAGCACCAAGAGCTGCAGAAATGCAGAGCTCACACAGCACTGTACAACAATGCAGCCACGGCCCAGGCTGAGGCACCACGACCGTGCTGCTGGGAGCAGGCACAATATTTTGCCTACCCTGACACTCCTGAGTCAGCTGCTCTGTGAACGGCAAAGGAAGGAAATGCTAGATAACATCCAAGTGCTGAAATGCAAAGCAGGGCTGTGTCACCCAGCTGGCTCCCTGCAGAAAGCTGTTGATGTGCACAAGAGACAGAAAGTGTGTCTCTGCAGAGCAGCTGCACGTTTGGAGCCCAGCATTTTCCAACAAACCCAAATTCATGGGAGGGTACCCCTCACCACCATCTCATTTTGGTCCCCACGTTCCCCTGTACCCACAGCACCCACATCCCAGGGAACTCCACCAGACTGGGACAAGGGTTACAGAAAGTGCTGTATTTACAGGGATATGAACTTCTGCTGCTGCTATTTACAGTTTATTCACAAATAATCCTTGGAGTCCCCAGCAGCTGAATACAGCAGAGTTAGTCAGAGCTTTATGGCAGGCTGGCAAGGCAGAGCAGCCAGTTTCTCTTCTTTTCCCTTCCAGCCCTGCCAAGGGAAGGGCGTCAGTGATCTGCCTTGCCCGGGCTGCAGAGGCAGTGCCCGTTCATTAGTGCCACGGGAGCAGAGTTAATGAGTGCCACGGGAGCAGAGGTGACCAACGCACACTCCAGGCTCCAGCTCTGCTTTCCACAGGTGACAGGAGAAACCACCCAGGCCTGGACTCCAGCTGAAGTGTTCCCAGGGCTGGGGCAGCTCTGCCAGCCAGGCACCCCCAGAGCCCGCTGGCACGGCCCTGGCACACACGGTGTGTCACAGGAGTGCTGCTGCTGCCCTGGCACACACGGAGTGACACTCACAGAGTGACATGGGCTGGGCTGGGATGGGTGTGCTGCTGCCCTGGCACACACGGAGTGACATGGGCTGGGCTGGGACACATGTTCTGCTGCCCTGGCACACACGGAGTGACACAGGGGTGCTGCTGCTGCCCTGGCACACACGGTGTGTCACAGGCTCAGCTCGGGCAGGTGTGCTGCTGCCCTGGCACACATGGTGTGACACAGTTTGGGCTGGGACACATGTTCTGCTGCCCTGGCACACACAGTGTGTCACAGGCTCAGCTCGGGCGGGTGTGCTGCTGCTGCTCCTGTCTCACGGCAGGGACCACCCGGGGCAGCAGGGGGCCAGGCTGCCGGCGACAGTGACCCTCCTGGAAGGATGGCAGGGTCAGGAGGAACGCTCCAGGGGATGGAGCCTCCGCCACCAGCTGCCTTTGAGCTGAAATGTTCACTGACGGGTGGCACAAGCACAGCATCACCTTCCTCCGGTGTGTGAAGCGGGTCCTGACAGCCCTGCCAGATGTGGAGCTCCTCTGCAGAGCACCTGGGGCTGCCCTCCCTCCTTCCCCGGCAGGGAACGAGGCCGTGCCAGGCAGCAGCAGGGAGTGCCGGGCCGAGTCAGCTTTCCCGGGGCACAGGTCAGCTCAAGAGACAAGCTGTCCCCCTGGGGCTTGCTCGATCTTCCTCTCCTCCACAGACAATCCGGGTTTACACGGAGTTTTCCACGGAATACTAACAGGGGGCGGCAAGTTCCCTTTTCACTGGGGTTTGCAGCCCGGCTGCCAGAGAGGCTGCCAGCCTTACAAAGGGACTCTTGGCTCGCCCCTGTGGATCCTTGGCTCGCCCCTGGATCCCTGGCTTTCCAGCCGCGCAGGGACAGAGATGCTGTTTATCCCCGGGACCATTTCCCAGCTCTGCCGGAGCCAGCGGCCCGCCGCCGCTGCAGCCTGGCTCCTGCGGGACCCTGCTCAGGGGGCGATGGCCGACGGCTGCTTCCTCTGCTCCTGCCTCATCCTCAGAGCCAGCATCGCCCGGCGGTACAGATCTGGGGACACGGAGCACTCGGGCACTGGCTGGGGCCGGCTGCAGGGCCCAGCTGGCAGCCGTGCTGGGCGAGGGCTGCAAGGACAGCCCAGCTCCAGCTGCATGCCAGCCCACGGCAGAGGCAGCAGCTCCTGCCTGCACAGCAGCCCCAGCAGCACCTGCCTGTGCCCCCATGGCCGAGTGTCCCTGCCCAGCTCACAGCCCGCTGCCAGCAGCCAGACCCCTGATGCTGTCAGCAAAATCTGTCCTGAGAAATACCAACCAAAGGTGCTTGAGACCTCCTCACGCTGCTGCTCCAGAGAAGGTTCCCGGGACTTGATTTTATTCTTGATTTTCTTCTTTTTTTTCTTTTTCATACCCTGTGCTGAATGGAGAAACACAAAATTTCAGGCACCACACCCCTGAGCAAGGGTGCCTTTGTCACCAAACCAGCTGAGGACTGGGTGGCAGGTGTGCAGGCCTCCACTGCTGCCATGCACCGTGCCCTGTGGAGATGCCCAGATGTGTCTCCCTTCCCCCCTGGGTTCCTGTGCTGGCTCTGCACTCGGCTGACCTGCAAGCAGAGCTGCTGGAGGTGGCGGGCACCAGTGCCCCAATGTTTGGTCACAGTGCCAGGCCTGGCCGCCTCCCTGTGGGGTGGCTCTGGGGGTCCTGCAGAGCTGGACTGTCCCCTCTCACCTGGCAGGGGGATGGCCGTCCCGATGGCTGTGGGCTCCTCCTGCCCGACCCTGTTGGGGAGCAGCAGCCCCCCCGCAGCCCCTACTCCCGGCTCCTCCGCTGGGCTCGGCTGCCCCAAGCCCTTCTTCTTCACCTTCACCTTCACCTTCCTCTTCCTCCTCCTGGGGCCCTTGGCGCTCTCCTCCTGGGCAGGGAAGGGGCATGAGGAGGGGGCGGCAGGGCCCCTGTGCGGCCGGTCCCGGCCCGGGGTGCCCCTCTCACTGACCAGGGGCAGGAGGCGGCCGGCGGGGCGCAGCGCCCGGGGCTCCCCGTCCTTCCCCGCGCCCTCCCGAGCATCTCCCCCGGGGGACGGCCGGTCCCTGCGGGAGGGAGCACAGCGGGGTGAGGGCGAGCGCGGGGGCAGCGAGGGGACGGGGACCCGCTCGGGAGCCCCGCACCCACCTGCGGGCGGCCCTCGGGGCGGCGTCCGGCGGGGCCGGGGCGGCGGCGGCGCGGAGCAGCCAGCGCAGCCCCTGCACGGTGGCGCGGGCCGGGGACACCCGCCCGGCCACACAGGGCTCCTGCGGACCCGCGGGGCACCGGGTCAGCGCGGGAGCCCCGGGGCGGGAGAGGGACGGGGGAGGGAGAGGGAGAGGGAGAGGGAGAGGGAGAGGGAACGGGAGAGGGAACGGGGGAGGGAACGGGGGAGGGAGAGGGAGCGGGAGAGGGAGAGGGAGAGGGAGAGGGAACGGGAGAGGGAGCGGGAACAGGAACGAGAGTGGGAGAGAGGAACGGGAACGGGAGCGGGAACGAGGGACGGGGAACGGGAGAGGGAGAGGGAACGGGAAATGAGGAACGGGAGAGGGACCGGGACCGGGAGCGGGGAGCAGGAACGGGAGCGGGAGCGGGAGAAGAAACGGGAACGGGAGAGGGAACGGGACCGGGAGCGGGGAGCGGGGAGCCGGCCGGCACTCACGACGCGGCACGGAGAGCGGTTCTCGTTGACCAGGCGCTCCAGGCTCAGCCGCTCGATCAGCTCGCAGGGCAGCAGCGCGGCCGCCGTGTCCTGCTTGTTGGCCAGCCTGGGGCCCAGAGGAGCGGCCGTCACCGCCAGCGCGGCCCCCGTGCCTCGCCAGGGCGGCTGTGTGCTTTAAACCCGCCTGGCTGAGGCTGGGTGAAGCATTGCCCCAGCCTCGCCCGGCACCGCAGCCCCCTCCTCACCTCCTCCCCACGGGTGCTCCGATCCCCCAAGCCCTGCTGGGGTCATGTCCCCGCACCCCCGAAGCTCCCGGGGCACCCTCATCCCCGCCGCAGGGTCCCACTCCGCCCCTCACCCCCAACTCTCATTTTGCATCCCGATCTTACAGCAAGAGCGGCTTCCCGGACACATCAGGATGGCTCAGCACGCGGCTCAGGACCTTGCGGGCCTCCTCCATGCGTGCCAGGTCCCCGGAGTCCAGCACGAAGAGCAGCCCGTGTGCCCGGCTGCAGTGGCCGCGCCAGGCGCGCTGTGCCCCGCGCAGCTCCAGCAGCGTCACCTCCAGGCTGTCCACCCGCAGGCGGCTCTGGCCGGGCTGCGCCGCGGGCAGCACCTCCCCGGCCAGCGCTGCGTGCGGGAGAGCGCGGGGAGCTGCCAGGGGAGCATCGCCTGCCCCTCCTGCCCCTGCCCCTCCTGCCCCTGCCCCTGCCCCTGCCCGGGCTCGGCCGTGCCCTGCGCCCTCCGCCCCTCCTACCCCTGCCCCTCCTGCCCCTGCCCCTCCTGCCCCTGCCCCTGCCCCTGCCCGGGCTCGGCCGTGCCCTGCGCCCTCCCCGGGGCTGCCCTGGGCTCGGCAGCCTCGCTCCTTGGGCTGCAGGGGACACGGGGCTGCTGCCGTTCGCCGGGGCTGCCCCGGGCCCTGCTGCTCACCTCTCTCCATGTCCGCGATCACGGAGGTTTTCCCTGCGTTGTCCAGCCCCATGACGAGGAGGGTCACCTTCCTGGGGAGGGACAAGAGCAGGGGAGCACCCCAGGAACGGCTGTGCTCCCTGGGGAGCAGCGACCACCATGGCCCCAGGCAAAGGAGCCTGCCCACGGCACTGCATTTCAGCCAGGACAGAGCAGGACAGTGACACAGGCTCTGTCTCACTGGGGACAAATGACACAGGGGCAGGACAGTGACACAGGCTCTGCCTGAGCTGGGGACAAACGACACAGAGGCAGGACAGTGACACAGACTCTGTCTGAGCTGGGGACAAGTGCAGGGACAATCCCTGGTGCAGGGGACAGGCACGGGTGCCTGGAGCCACCCCAACGCCATGGGACAGCCACGCTGCAGAGCCTCCAAGGTGCTTCCTGAGCAAGGATTTATTTTCAAAGCAAATAGGATTAAGAAATTACATGCACAGGCCAGCACGATTCTTCTTTACATGCAGTCAACGATTATACATTCCTTGCAGTAAAATTTGAGTATACACAGGTAGGGAAAGTTGCAAGGATGATTTCATGATCTTCTGCCTGGACTCAGGTGTTTTTCCTGTTGCTGAACAGTCCTGGCCACTCTCCAGCAACGTGATCCACCAGTCACACAGGCAACACTTTCTCTGCCACTACAGTTATCTGCAATACCATTTTCTTCCCTAAACACACAGACCAGGCTGCATGGCAGTGCAGGTGGCACAGCCCCACCTCCAGAATTACAGCAGGTAAGGTAAGCTGTCCTCTCTGGAGCGAGAGGACCATAAACCCCCTTGCAGTGCTGTCCCAGGGAATTATCCTGCATGTCCTGACACATGCAAACAAGGCGGGTGTTCCAGTGCACCCTCCCCAGCTTTCCTGGGGAGCTGCTGACCCTGCAGGGCTGAAATCCCCGTGGCACCATCCCTGCCCAGCCTGTGTCCCTGCCTGCCAGCCCTGCCCGCTGCAGGGCAGCGAGGACCCCCGTGTGCCCTGCTCAGCAGTCTGGGGACAGCTCCTGCCACGGGCCCTGCCTTTCCCTGCACCACGCTGGTGACACTCCTAAACACACAGGTAAATGTTGGCACCCCTGGGAGCCCCGGGGGTGGGCACAGGCACCTACCTGGTGGGCTCCTGTATGGCCTGCAGCCACGACCAGCAGTGGGAGAAGAGGTGGAACATGGTCTGCAGCCCTGTGCACAGGGGTGGCCTCTGAAGCGAGCAGCCCAGCACAGTGTCCCCGTGCTTCAGCCCAGCATGTCCCTGTGCTGCAGCCTCCTGCCCGGGCTGTCTCTTCACGGCAGGGACCATCTCATCCCCGGTGCCCTGTCCCACAGCACGGCACCGCTGCCTTCTGTCTGGTGTGCATCAGCCAAGCCTGGAGAAAAATCCATCCTGGGCAGTACCCCATGGGCACAGTGCTGCTCCCAGTGCCCCTCACATCAGGGCTGCCACTCAGCCTCTCACCTGCTCCTCCCTGCACAGCCTCTGCTCACACGCCCTCTGCGTAGCAGCCGCTTAAACCTAATCTGGATTTCAATTACTTCCTCCTGCAGGCTCCCTAATCCCGCTGGGTCAGCCCAGGCTGTGCTGGGGCTGCTGCCACGCTGGGGGCACGGCACTGACCCTGCAGCCCACTGCAGCCTGCTGTCCCCGTGGCTGCTGGACGTGCCTTGTGCTGGGGAACCATGAGTTAGGGGCTCCTCTAAGGAGCAGCATCTCTGCCTTCCCCCTGCCTGATCCCTGAGCTGTTTCCCTGCAGCCCCTGCAAGGAGCACACCCCTCACGTGTGCACAGCTCTGCTGCCCACCCAGGGTCCCCCCGAGCCGGGCTGGGGGCATCACTGCTCCCTGCTTGTGTTTTGTGCCCCAGCAGGGCACTGAGTGGCAGCAGGCCCCGTGCTCCTGGAAACAGCACCAGCCCCAGCAGGAGCCTGCCTGGCAGCAGGGAATGGGAGACCCTCAGACCACAGGGCAGAGAGTGGAGGAAGAAAAGCACCAGCTCCTCGATCTTCAGCTCTGAAGCTCTTATCTTGCTTCTCAGGTTTCGTGCTTCTTTTCCCAGCCAGAGCTGCCCTCCCTGGCTCGCTGCCACTGATGTGTGTGAAGTCACACAGGGATGTCTGAGCTGCAGGAGCCCTGGGTGGGGGAAGTGGAGTCCAGAGGGACAAAGATCCTCCAAAAGCCATGCCCAGGAGCAAGCAGGGAGCCTGCAGCCTCACATCAGTCTGTGCTAAACCACCCAGCACCAGCAGCACCACCTCGACCTGCTGAGCACCAGCCATGAGTGCTGAGACACTGCCCTGGCCTCAGGGCTGCAAGCCCAGGACAGGCATGGCCCCAGACCCTTCCCTTCTCCCCAGCCCCTTGTCCCCAGTCCCTTCTCCCCATCCCCAGCCCCTTCTCCCCAGCCCCAGCCCCTTCTCCCCATCCCCAGTCCCTTCTCCCCATCCCCAGCCCTTCTCCCCATTCCCTTCTCCCCATCCCCAGCCCCTTCTCCCCATCCCCAGCCCTTCTCCCCAGCCCCAGACACTGCTGGGAGCTCAGCACCTGTCCCGGGCGAGGGAGGTGCCCCAGTTCCATGCCACGGGCACGCAGCCATGCGTGGTTAATGGTTTCTCCCCATCCCCAGCCCCTCCCCCCCAGCCCCAGCCCTTCTCCCTAGCCCCATCCCCTTCTCCCCATCCCCAGCCCCTCTCCCCAGCCCCAGCCCTTCTCCCCAGCCCCAGATACTGCTGGGAGCTCAGCACCTGTCCCGGGCGAGGGAGGTGCCCCAGTTCCATGCCACGGGCACGCAGCCATGCGTGGTTAATGGTTGATGAAGTTGCTGTTCTGATACCACAGCCAGATGCCATGTTTGGGGTGACTGGTCACCCCGGTGCTGCTGATGGCGGGGCAGTGGCAGCACCTCCCTGTCCCATCCTGGTGGCCTTTCCTGGGCTGTGTGTGCCTGTGCCAGCAGCCTGCAGGGAGCAGTGACCAGGGCAGGTTCACACAGAACTGGGGCTGTGGTTTTTCAGGGTTTTTTTTGTTTTGTTTTGTTTTTTTTTTTGTTTTTGTTTTTTTTTTTTCAGAATTAGCTGTATGAGGGCTGAAATTATTCGCTCCAACTGTCAGCTCTTCCCTCTGTGTGTAGGGGTGGCACTGCCAGGGGCCAGCCCCGCAGGGACAGGAGAGTGCTGTACCATGAGTACAGGTGCTATAAATAGGGAAGAGCCATGTGTCAGGCAGCAGCTCAGCTTCCTGAGGGGCAGCAGGATCTGATTTCCCCCGGCACCAATGGATTTCCAGACATCTGAACACTTGGGGCGCCACTGCTTTCAAAACAAGTGTCCAAAATCCCTGGTCAGACCGGAGCTGAGGACAGGGAAACCCCCAGGAGCCGGAGGCAGCTCCAGCTCACACCTCCCGATGCACACACCGGGATCGACAGCCAGGAAAACCTCAAAATCCACCCAGAGCTGCTGAAACCCGCACCCAGCCCCGGGGAAGCGGCACGAGGGCCAAGCCCAGGGGGATGTGAGTTCTGCCGGGCCTGAGCTCAGGTCACGAGTGGGCACTGGCCCTGTGCCCTCGCAGGGGCAGCGGGTCCTGTGCCAGGCTCAGCCACACACCCTCCCCAGGGCCTCCCCAGGCGTGCCAGGGGACCCGCAGCAGCCACCCTCGTTTCCTTGGTGACTGTTGCCAGGTGAGAAACTCCAAGGCAGGATTTGTTATCTCGGCAGATAAATGATGTTCCTCCCCGGGGCTGCGAGCGGAGCGCGCCCGGGCAGGGCGCCGGGCTGGACCCTCTAGTGCTGCCCGTGCCAGCGGGACCCCGAGGCAGGGCAGCGCCCCGAGGGGCTGCCAGGCCCTGGCATCGCTCAGCACGTGCTTTGGGGCTGTTCCTGCGCTGCAGAGCCGCGGGAGAGGCGGCGAGGCGACAGCACAGGCACCGCGGATGGGCGCGGGCTGCCCTGCCCTGCCCTGGCTGCGCTAGACCCCGTGAGTACGGGCACGGGGAGCCCACCCCGCACCCCGGGCTGGCAGCAGAGCTGGGGGACGGCTGGGGACAGGGGCATGGTGGTCTGCAAGGGAGCACAGCGGGCAGGGCGACAGGGAATGCCTGCAGAGCCTTGAGCGGAGCTGGCACCAGAGCCCAGAAAGGCCTGGCAGAAATATTAGCAAGCTGTTCTGCTTTGCTTGGAACCACACCAACCCTGCCCAAAACGGGACCTGTGGTGGGCAAGGGCGCACACAGGCTTGGAGGAGAGACTCGTCTCTCTCTTCCATGTGCCGCATGACAGCGCTCTGAGCTGGCAGGAATGCAAACAGCCACATTGTCCCTTTAAATCCCAGCGCAGCGCTGGCGGCTGACGATAACCCCGGATCACACCAGCTCCCAAATCCCCAGAGCTAATTACAGGCACACGCCCCGCAGCCAGGCTGGGAACACGGGATATTTACAGCCTGTGACACCGAGACCTGTGGGTGAGGAACTGGGGCACCCGGAGGTTCGCTGGCGTGGCACCGGGGACAGAGGATGGTTTGCACCCCACTGCCATGCAAACATTGTGGGCAGCCACTCCCGAGCCCCTCTGGGTAAGGGAGATGGTTTTGCAGAGTGTTCCTTGCTCCCCCTCGCCGGTACCATCCCTCTGTGTCGGGGCAGGAGGCAGGCAGGGAGCTGTTTGCTTTTCACCCAGCTCCTGGCGGGGAGCTCCCAGCCAAAGCACACACAAATTTCGAGGAGAGGCTTGCGCCTGAGCGCTCTGTTTGCTCTGCTCCCTGCCGCAGGACAAGCTGCCTCCTTGGTCCTTGCCCTGTGCCCAGAGCTCTGGGAAGCCCCTGAGACGGCCAAGCCCTCCCAGGCTCCTGCAGTGGTTCTGTTGAGATCATTCTGGAGCTCCTGCTGCTTTCCTGCCTGGGGAGAGGAGAGTGTCTGCTCCTCCTGCCTGCCAGGATGCCCTGGGCACACGCAGGCACAGCCTGGCTGGGTTAGCCCTGTACCAGGGCTGTATACTCTTACAGCAGGGACCAGGGCAGGCAGTTAATTAAAGGTAATTTTAACTCTTCCTGCCTGGTTTAGTGTTACAGCATCACCCACTGCCTGTGCTGGGACTGGAGCCAAGGAGGCAAGACTTCAAAATGTGTAATTATCACAGATCTGTGAGTGCACCCAAAGGTAGCTCTGCTTTCCTGTTAAAGAACTGAAGTGTGGGGCAGCTGACGTGGCCTGTGCTGTGCCTGAGATCCTGGCTCTGGCAGCACTGAGCCCCTGCCCAGGTCCCATGGGCCCAGCACAGCCTGCAGGGAGGTTTGGAGGGGTGAGGTGCTCAGCACAGACACCAGATTCTCTCCCAGCAGGGTCAGAGGAGGCTGGATGAGGAACTGGAGTGGTGAAAGCAGGCGCATGATGGAGAAAATGGAATAAATATTTCCCCAACCAGAAACTATTGCACAGACTGCTGGGGCAGGAGAAACACAGCTGAGTTACTGTGAAAGCAAGGCAAAATCCAAACAGTTTAGGCTGTGGAAACCAGTCATTTGCAAAGCTACTTCCAAAGTAAGTCAAAAATTCCCAGCTCACAGATTCCTGGGAACCTCCCAGCCCTGTCAGCAGGACAGCAGGGCTGCACTGAGGGGACAGAACTGCCCCTTGCCACACATTGCCACACACCCATCCAGCTGGCTGCCCCTTCCCCCAGCACAGGGGTGTTCTGCCGAGCCACACGTGCCTGGGCACAGCTGGGTGCTGCATCCCAGCACGGGCTGTGCCCCTGAGGAGCTCCCAGGCAGCCTGGCCATCCCCCCCAGCCGCTGCCTCCACCTCTGCGTGCAGGGCTATATTTGGGAAGGCAGCAGCGCCCGGCATGTTCCAACCAGCACTGGGAGTGGTGTGTGCTCTGGGTCCTGGAGAGGAGAGCTGGGGCAGCACGCTGGCAGCTCTCCCCGCCTGGGCCCTTTAAGAGTCTGGCTCAGAGCTCCCCGTCTTTCCCAAACAATTTTCTCTTCTCCTTTTACAGGAGCGGAGCCGGCAGGCAGGCATGTGTAAAGCACACAGGGTTATTTTGAGCCTGAGAGCCGGTGAGGAAGCTTGCTCCCAGCCCACAAACAGCCCAGGCTCCCACACACAAACGCCCTGGCACATCCAGGGGGCTGGGAAAGCTGCACTGCAAACCCTGTGCCTTCACACAGTGGGCAGCCACCAGCACCACTGCCCTTTGCCAAAGTGTGCTCTGTGAACACTGGGGTTAAACAAAAAATTATGGAGGCTGGGATTAAGAAATTAATGAAGCTGGGATGCTGTCCAGGGCAGGGCTGGCACTTGTGGAGACAGGAAAATTGACATTTGCACATGGTAGTGAAACTCAGGCTGGTGCCTTGGGCATCCCCAATAATCCTTGTGGGTCCCTTCCAGAATAGGAATCTGTGATTGTGTGATTCTGTGATTCTGTGAATTCTGTGATTCTGTGATTCCATTATTCTGTGAATTCTGTGATTCTGTGATTCTGTGATTCTGTGATTCTGTGATTCTGTGAATTCTGTGAATTCTGTGATTCCATTATTCTGTGATTCTATGATTCTGTGATTCAGTGATTCCATTATTCTGTGATTCTGTGAATTCTGAGATTCTGTGATTCCATTATTCTGTGATTCTGTGAATTCTGTGAATTCTGTGATTCTGTGATTCCATTATTCTGTGAATTATGTGATTTTTTGATTCTGTGATTCTGTGATTCTGTGATTCTGTGAATTCTGTGAATTCTGTGATTCCATGATTCTGTGATTCCATTATTCTGTGATTCTGTGATTCTGTGATTCTGTGATTCTATGATTCCAGATCACTTCACATCCACCAGCCCAGGGGCTGCTCTGCTGCTGGGAGGTTCCCCAGTGAGGGCCAGCCAGCAGCCAGCAGCCGTGCTGCTCCAGAACGCAGCAGTGCAGAGGCCACCCCTCCAGACGTCCCCAGCACGGCCCCGCTGGCCTGTGGCTGCCCTGGCTCAGGCAGTTCCTCTGTGGCAGGGCAGCCCCGGGGTGGCTGTGCAGCCCCAGCTGGGCTGGGCTGCCAGGCAGAGGCGTGGGGCTGGCAGCACAGGGAGTGGCAGCGGGACATGGCTGGTGCTATCTGTGACCCACATCGCTTTATGGGCTGTCTGCTGTTTACAGCGCAGCAGCCAGCTGGGGTCAGGCTGCACAGGTGACTCACAGCTGAGCAGCTCCTGCTGCCCCGTGCTTGGGACTGAAAATGGGATAATAACTGGTGTGGGAACTGCTGTGAGGCTTCGCCTCTCCATTCCTCTCGATGGCTGCCGGGGCTTACGGATACAGGACTGGAATTCTTGCTTGCTTAAACAGTGCTCTTAAGTATTTCATCATGAAGCGGGGGAAGCTGAAATTAAAATATGATGAGTCGAAGCCCAGGCATTGCTCAGCCGAGGGCTTGGTGACCTGCCAGGCTCCTGGGGAATGCTTTTAATTTGGATAAGTGGAAATTGCATCAATGGCACAAGCAGCACGCTGCTCTTGCTGCTCACACAGAGCGTGGGTGCAGCTGGCAGTGCCACAGGATGTGTTGTCTCTGGCTGAGCACCCAGCCAGGCACGGCTGCTCCCGTGCACAGCTCCCACGGCACACTGCTCTTGCTGCTCACACAGAGCCGTGGGTGCCGCTGGCAGTGCCACAGGATGTGTTGTCTCTGGCTGAGCACCCAGCCAGGCACGGCTGCTCCCGTGCACAGCTCCCACCCCGGCTGGCCACCGTCTCCAGTTGGCCTGGACAGCACTGCCTTCACCCTCTGCCCTGCCAGAGGTTTTTTTTGGAGAGGCTGTTTTCCAAAAACAGCTCGAAAGTATGTGGCTGTCATACCAGAGCAGAGTGGTCACACACAGCCCTCCCGTCGCTGCCGGTCAGGCCAGTCCCCGTGAGCTCATGGGGTTTGTGGTTTCCCAAAGCAGCTGTTCAGCTTGGAAGGAACAGCTCTGAGCAGCTGCAGGCACAGGGACTGCTTCTGTGTGGGAACTGCTGCTGGGGGAGGCATGGCCTCCAAAGTCTCAGGCAGTTTTGTTCTCAGCTCTCCTGCTGATAAGCACGATAGCCCTGGTAATGCTTCCAGCCTGGAAATGGGGAAAACTTGTGTGTGTGCTTTGGGGGTTTTGTGCTTTTGGCTGGCGTGGGGCAGCTGAGTGGGCAGCGTGAGCCGGGCACAGCAGGGACCCCCTGGCCACGGGGGTGGGGACAGCCCGGCCAGCCTCGTGTTCCCACCATGGGCAGGTGATCAGGCTGGGACAGGAGGGAGGGGGCTGAGCGCTGGGCTCTGCCAGCGAGCCCACACATCCCAGAGCACTCCTGCTGTAGCACAGGGTCACGGCTGGAGGCAGGAACATCCCAGAAACAGGAGACACATCTCCCGTGTAACTGTTCCCAACTCTCCATGCACACACCAGGCACTCGGGGGACACGAAGGGTGTCCCTGACACAGCCTGCCTTGCAAGAGACCAGAACACTCCCTGCCTGGAGAACACCCTCCCTCCCACATCCCAGGCCATAGGGTGCCATTGCTGGCTCTGCAGCTGGGTCAGGCCGTGCCCCTGAGCTGCTGCTGGGTGCCGGCAGCTCTCTGGCAGCTGCCTGGTTCAGACAAGGCTGGCACCACACTGGCATCCTTCCTGCCCCACAGTGGGACCCCCGTGTCCCTGGGGCTACCTAACAATTCTGCCCTGGAGGGACCCTCCGTGTGCTGCTGGTGTTGGGTGTTGGTCAGGAATTGATTTGGTCTGGACTTGACGGGGGGATGTACTGGGGGCTCCGGAGTCTCAAGGGCACACTCGAGGGGTGGCACGGGGACTGTCCTGCTGTGTCTGGGGAGGGGGAGTCCCCAGGCGGGTGCTGGGGGACTCTGGGCTGTGGGTCCCGGCCGTGCCGGCGCGGTCCCGGTGCGGTCCCGGTGCAATCCCGGCGCTGTCCCGGCGCGGTCCCGGTGCGGTCCCAGTGCGGTCCCGGTGCAGTCCCGGTGCGGTCCCGGTGCAATCCCGGTGCAATTACGGTGCAATCCCAGTGCGGTCCCGGTGCAGTCCCGGTGCGGTCCCGGTGCAATCCCGGTGCAATTCCGGTGCAATCCCGGTGCGGTCCCAGTGCGGTCCCGGCGCTGTCCCGGTGCAATTCCGGTGCAATCCCGGCGCGGTCCCAGTGCGGTCCCGGTGCGGTCCCGGCGCGGTCCCGCGAGCGGGGGCTGCCCGCCCGCCGCCGCCCCGTCGCGGGCCAAGCTGCCGCTCGGCATCGTCTTCTCGACGGCGCTCTTCTGCGGGGAGGGCGCGGCGGCCGCCGTGCTCTGCCTCTCCTACGGCCACTCCGACGACCGCTTCTGGCTGGCGCTCACCGTCTTCTTCGTGCTCTGCCCCTCCGTGCTGGTGCAGCTCACCCTCATCTTCGTGCACCGCGACCTCAGCCGCGACCGCCCGCTCGTCCTGCTCATGCACCTGCTGCAGCTCGGGCCCATCATCAGGTGAGAGTGGCGGGGACCCCGGGCACCCCCGGCACCCCCTGGGTATCTCCCGGCACCCCCGGCACCCCCGGCACCAAAGCGCGGAGCCCGCAGGGGCGCGGGCACCGGTGCGAGCCGGGAGCGGTGCCGGGCAGGACGGGCACGCCGGGACCGGCGCTGCTCCTGCCGGTCCCTCGGCCCCGGCTCTGCTGCTCCCGGCCCGCGGGGACCCCTCGCTCGCCGGGGGTGCCGTGGCTGCTCCTGCTGCCGGAGCCCGCTCCGGGCAGGACGCGGCTCTGGCAGCCTGGGTGTCCCAGCTGCTGGGAAAGCTCTGCCCGGGGCTCGGGAGGCAGCCAGCGATCCACTCAGCCTCCTGGTTTTGCCATCATTTGGCTGTGCCCGTGCTGGGAGCCCAGGGGGATTCCCCGGTGGGTGCTCCAGCGTGAATCCTGACGTGGTGTGGAGCTGGGCCAGGGGAGGGTCAGATTAGATAGCAGGAAAAGGTTTTACAGCCAGAGAGAGGGTGGTGCGGCTCTGAAACAGGCTGCCGGGAAGTGGCCACAGCACCTGGCCCGAGTCACAAACCTTTGGGCACATGGTGGGGTCCTTGGGGTGTCCTGCACAGGGCCGGGAGTGGGACCCGGCGGGGTTATGGACATGGAGAAGAGCTGGCTGCAGGAGGGGGCTGCCAGGGCAGCTGTGGGGCTCGGGGCTGTGCTGGCAAGAGGGCGGTGAGGGGGTGGGTGGGTGTTGCCCAAGCTGATCCCTCATTCCTTGGGAATGCTGCGGTTCCTCCCGGGCTGCCATCACCCGGGCAGCCTGCTCGGTGGGAAGGCACTGCAGGAGCCGTGGCACAGCCACCACCTGCATGGGGCTCCTTGCCATGGCAGCAGCCACGCTTTGGGCTCCTGCTCCACAGGGCTCAGAACCACCGTGGCTGCTCCGTGCTGCCGCTGTCACCGGAGCAGGCAGCGCTCCAGATGTGTCCCCACACCCTGTCTCAGCTTCAGAGCCACCCGGGGGCCTTGCCTCGGGCTGCCAGCCTGTGCTGGCCCACGGCAGTGCTGGGACTCTCACCACACCAAGCCAGGCTGCCTGGGACGGGTGGGTGCTGCCCAGCTGCCTCAGCAGGCTGCTCGGGCTGGAGGTGGAGCCCAGCCTGCTGAGAGGGTCTGGCAGGGCTCTGGGAGCCAGCTGGGACTACCCTTCAAGCTGGGCCTTCGGGATGAAACTGTTTTCCCATTAGAGTTTGCAATGAGCTGTGAGTACTGGCTTGATCTGTCGAGAGAATTTATGCTAAACCCTCCCTCCTCTTGGGTTTGGTACAAGCAGTTTGTGCTGTCCTGATAAGCACTCATGACTAATGGTGTCCTGTTGGTCCCAGAGCCAGCTGGTCCCCAGGCAGCAGCGAGCTGATCCCCTCTGGCCATGCACAGCCACCCCACGGCCCTGTGGAGGGGCTGGGGTCCCCTGTGCTTCAGGCACGGCACAAAGTGCCAGCCCTGCCCACCCTGGGGCCTGCAGACAGGGGCTGCGGAAGCACTGCCTTATCTGCCCGTGCCACACACGGCTTCACCCTGCGCCCTCCTTCCTGCTGTCCCCACCGGGGAGGAAGTGTGGGAGCCTTCTTCTGCTCGGGAGGAGAGATCAAAGAAAGCTCTGATACTCAGCTCTGATACTTCAGAGTTTCTTTCGCCTCTGCTTGGAGGCAGAGGTTTTTGCCAGCTGGGAAAGCAGAACCCAAGGGTGATTAACACCTTCCTGCAGCTGCAGCTCCCAGCAGTCGCTGCTGTGTACCCTGGGTGCTGCACCTCTTCCAGCAGCTGTTTCAGCCCTCGCTGGAGCAGCTGTTGCCCCCCTGCTGTTGAGGTGAACACCCCATGTGTGAGGACACGAGGCTTGACTCCATTTTTCTCAGAAGGCTGATTTATTGTGTTGTATGTTATATTAAAATACTACATTAAAACTATACTAAAAGAACAGCGAGAGAAGAACATCAGAAGGCTACAAAGAACAAGAATAGAATAGAATAGAATAGAATAGAATAGAATAGATAACAAAATCCTGTGACTGCTCACAGCCTTGGCACAGGTGGCTGTGGTTGGTCATCAGTTGAAAACAATCCACATGGACCAGTGGAAGATGCACTCGTTGCATTCCACAGCAGCACACAGTTATTGTTCACATTTCTTTCCTGAGGGTCTCAGCTCCTCAGGACGGGAAACAGCCTAGCAGAGGATTTTTCATAAAATATCATAGCTACACCCTGCTACCCACGACCACCCCGAAAGCTGGAGCAGAGGAGCAGCCACGGGGCATCCCCATGGTGCTGGTGTGCCCACAGCACTGCTGGGCTGCCCTCAGAGCAGCGGGGCTGGGCAGCACCACCCAAGCTGGAGGTGCTGGAGCGGGGCGGCAGGAGGGCTGGCAGGCTGGCAGCTCCTGTGTGCCCACAGGTGCGTGGAGGCCCTGGTGGTGTACTGCTGGTCGGGGAGGGAGGAGGAGCCCTACGTGACCATCACCCGCAAGCGGCGGCTGCGGCAGGGCTACGAGGTGGAGATGGAGCAGGAGGTGGGGCACTCGGAGCGGCGCCTGGCCACGCACCGCAACGCCTTCAAGCGCATGGCCGTCATCCAGGCCTTCCTGGGCTCCACGCCGCAGCTCACCCTGCAGCTCTACATCAGCGTCCTGGAGAAGTACGTCCCTGTTGCCCGAGGTAAGGGCCACGTGCCTCCCCAGGAGCCCCGCCAGGGCACTGTGGCAGCTCCTTGATGGGAATCCAAAAAGCCGCAGTTTCCGCTAGGCTCCCCTAAATGTGGAGCACAGCCCACTTTTGAGATGTTGGGCACTCATCAGCTCTCTGCTTTCCTGCTTGCAGTGGTGCAAAGTGGGAAAGAGCAGGCATGGCTGAGGTGCCAGGCTCTGCTCCCAGCCCTGTGCTCGTATCTGCCCTCCAGAACCAAGCCATCCACCCAGTGCCATGTCTCCTGGGAGGGTCAGGTCCCTGTCCTATCCTGCTCCAGTCTCCATTCATTTTTTCCATCTAGCTGCAGGCTCTGGCTTCCCTCAAGTCCCCCCACTGTATTTATTTCTGCACATTTTCCAGCAGCCAGAGCTCCCAGCCCAGCACTCCCACTCCAAGGCTCCCCTGCTGCTCCCAGGATGTTTATGTGCTCGGGGGTGGATATGCCAGAGCAAACTTTTAACTCCCACTTTGGCACCGCGCTGGGCACGCAGGTGTGCTCCTGCACCATTCCAGTTACAGTGCTGGGTGGAGGAGCTGCCCTCACCCACACACTCTCCCAGCAGTGCTGGGAGCCCAGACCTTGCCATCTGTGCCCACAGCAGCTGCATCAAAAGGGCAGCACAGGAGATGCCCCACAGAAAGCCCCTAATTTGCCACAGCTCTCTGCAAAGGCATTTTGGGGAGCTGCAGATGCACAGGAAGGATGAGTGCCAGTGCTGCTCGAGCAGTAGATGCAGGAAGTAAACACCAAGTGATGTGTTTTGGGTGATTCCCTCGCAGCTGCAGTGCCAGCTCAGCCCTGCAGCTGGCAGCCACCGTGGATGGGACCAGCTGCACTCTGCTGTTTTTCTCCATGGCATTCCTGGCTGTGCTGAATGTGAGCAGCTGCTGGCATTCCTATAAATGACCTTGGCTTTGCAGCCCTGGGATGGGGCTGGCTCTTGGGATGCCTCTGGAGCTACAGTGCAGCTCTTGGCTGGGATGGAGGCAGAGGGGCCCTCGCAGCACTGGCTGTGCCCGGCTTTCCCTTGAGCAGCATCTCCTGCACAGGGCAGGGTGGCTGGGGCATGGTCCAGCCACAGAAATGGTTTGGCAAGGCTTGTGTTTTATTGGTGTAGGGAGAACCTTTGGGTTCTGAGCCTCCTGCTGCCAGCAGCCACCTCATCACGGGGGCTGTCACCACCATCCAGGGGCTGTCACCACCACCCCTGAGCTGTTCTGGCAGTGCTCATGCTGAGCCTTCTGCCGTGAGCCCAGGTGTTTGGCAGCCTGTACCTCTCACCAGGACGGGCACCCCAGGTGTCCCACCCGGAGCTGTCAGCCCACACTTTGCAGCCAGGCAGTGGAGAGGCTGGGCACAGCCCGGTCTCCTCCTGCCTGACTGGGCTGCCGTGTCCCTCTGCAGCCGTCCTCATGGCCGTGTGCCTGGTGTCAGTCACCTACGGGGCGCTCGTCTGCAACATCCTGGCCATCCAGGTCAAGTACGATGACTACAAGGTGCAGCTGCGGCCGCTGGCCTTCCTGTGCATCGTGCTGTGGCGCAGCCTGGAGATCTCCACCCGCATCGCCGTCCTCGTGCTCTTCAGCACCGTCTTCAAGCACTGGATCATCCCCATCGCCCTGGCCAACCTCCTGGTGGTTTTCTTCCTGCCCTGGGTGCAGTTCTGGCGCAGCGGCAGCCGCCTGCCCGACAACATCGAGAAGAACTTCAGCCGCCTGGGCACGGTGGTGGTGCTGTGTGCCTTCACCCTCCTCTACTCCAGCATCAACATGTTCTGCTGGTCGGCCGTGCAGCTGAAGCTGGCCGACCGGGACCTCATCGACAAGTCGCAGAACTGGGGCCGCCTGGCCGTGTACTACGTGGCGCGGCTGGCGGAGAACACGGCCCTCGTCGTCCTCTGGTACTTCTTCAAGACCGACGTCTACGAGAACGTCTGCACCGCGCTGCTGGTGCTGCAGCTGCTCCTGGGCTACTGCCTGGGCATCTACTTCATGCTCCTGTTCTTCCAGTACCTGCACCCCTGCCGCCAGCTCTTCCGGCACAACGTCGCTGACTTCCTGCACTGCGTGTGCTGCCGCCGGCACCCGCCGGGGACCCCGCTGTGCCTCGAGGTGCCCGCGGAGCCCGGCGTGAGGCACAGCATTGTGTGAGCGCCCGGCTCCGCCAGCCAGCCTCGGGCACGGGCACGGGCAGCACAGGGCTGTGCCGCAGCCACAGGATGCTCGTGGCACAGACGAGTGCTGCCTGGTGCTGCGGTGGCAGCAGGTCCCACTGCGTCCCCTCGGGGGCAGGGGGACAGCAGTGTGCTCGCCTGCTCAGGACCACTCCTATGGACATGAAGGAGGGTTGATTGGATTGGACATAAGGAAGTTTTTTGCAGGGAGAGTGGTGAGGGACTGGCACATGTTGCCCGGGGGGATGGTGGATGTCCCGTCCCTGAAAACATTCAAGGCCAGGTTGGATGGGCTCTGAGCAGCCTGGCCTAGTTGAAGATGTCCCTGCCCATCTCTGGAGTGTATCTGGATGGCCTTTAGAGGTCCCTTCCAACCCAAACTATTCTACAATTCTACAATTCTACGGCTCATGGGGTGCCCAGCCAGTTGCCCCTGCCAGCTGGCTGCCACATGGGGCACAGCCCCGGGGGTGCCCCGACACCCCAGCTGCTGCTATGGTGCATACGGTGACCTCGGGCCACGGGTGCCACTGGGACTGTTCTAACAGTAAAGAAACTTTGCTGTGGCTGCGAGTCTGGGTGCTGGCAGTGACTCACACGGAGGGTGGGGACCGTCCCAGGGGCTGGCACGGGTTCACACACCTGCTGTCCACGTAAAACTGTCCTTCACAGGCACCGAAATGGAGCTGTGCCAGCGGGAAGTGGGGTGGGGAGCCCCTCTGTGGAGGCTGAGGAGCATGGTGGGATGGGGGCTGGCCCATCCTGCGCTTCCGTCAGCACGGCCGTGGCTGCAGGCCAGGGGAGAGCAGCACGCCAGCAAGGAGCAAGCCTGTCCGACCTGTTCCTCCAGGCTCAGGGGCCCAGAGCAGGCTGCTGTTCCCAGCTGGAGCACTGGACACCCCAGGGCCCAGGACCCTGCAGTGGGGGCAGGCAGGAGGGGAAGGCTGGCACAGCAGTGCAGTGGGTGCTGGTGGGACCCAGCATCCTGGCCCCAAACCAGGAGTGTGACACCCCCACCCCAGCACCCGTTTTTGGGGTCAGCTCAGTCTGGGTGCTGGACCGAGGATGCTCCTCAGCCCTGGGGCCCATGGAGGTGCAGCACCCTGGTGCTTGGTCTTGACTCACCTGTAATGGATGCCCGGGCTGGATCCTGGCACCGGTGCAGCGCCGTGACCCCAGGAGCTTCTCTTCCTTCGGTGTTTCCCTGGAAGATGGGCAGTGGAGGCTGGTGAGGGAGGCCAGGGAAAACGGAGCTGTTGAGCTGGGCACAGCATGGATCCTCCATGACTCCTTCCCAGGAAATTCCTGCCTTACAAAAAAAGCCCGTTTTTGTCCTCAGAGGTTGCAAAACCCCAGGAGGAGCAGCCAGCCACGCTGTGTGACCCAGCCGTGGGGGGATCTCTCAGGGGGCCATCCCTGGCCAGCACAACGGGCTTGTTTTGGTGTTGAATCAGGTCAGCCCTGCCTTCCCGGCAGGTGGCCTTTGAAACCACCGGCATTTCCTTAAACTCTTCTCAGGGAAAGTCCCGGCTGCCGCACCGCCCGCTGCCTCCATAAAGCGCCGGGCCGGCGGCGGGCGCGGGACAGCGCACCATGGGCAACTGGCTGGTCAACCACTGGTTCTCGGCCGCCGTGCTCGTGAGTCTGTGGGGCTGGGGCTCTGCTGGGGATGCTGGGGCTCGTGGGGGACGTGGGGACTGCTGAGCTGCCCCGGGGCTGGGCTCTGGGAGAGACAAGCATCCCTCTGCTCGCCAAGCGTCCCCCTGCGCGCCGAGCCGCGGACCCGGCAGCCCGGGAGGGATGATGGGCTCTGGAAACTGAAGGCCTGGGGAAAACACAGCTCAAGGGAAAGGGGGTCCTGGAAAAGTTAAAAATGCTGCTGCTTTGCCTGGCCACTTTGGCTGGGAGCCTTCCACGTGCCTCTTCTCCCCTTGTGAGAGGAGGAGGATGCTGTGAGAAGTCGTGGCAGGGTGAGGAGCTGGCACCGTGGGGACCATCTGCCAGCGCTGTGCTGCAGCATCTCTGGTGTAACAGAGCTTGCCTGGCCAGCACCCATCAGCTGCTCTGCGCTGTGTGGGGAGCTGTGAATGCAAGGGAACATGGGGGTTTACTGACAGTTGGGCTATTTTCATTTTTTCAGTTACTTAAAAAAGAAAAAGAAAACAGCCAAAAAACAAATACATGGCAGGCTGGTTTTTTTGGGACCTCTGTAAAAATTCATTGGCTGTGAGAGGCGGCAGCGTGGGGTGCAGTGGGGTTAGGCAGGGGACAGCAGCACAGTGGGGCCAGGTGAGCCAACTCCCCGTGGAACTTCCTTCCCCCAGAATGTTTCCCAAGCAGTCCTGACCACGCTCTGGATCTGCCTTCCCTCCCGTTACACGGGTGTGCCTGCTCCTGCCTTTCCTCCTTCCTCGTGCACGGGTGATGCACAGGGCACTGTGTGACAAGACAGCAATTCTGCAAGACTTCCACACCTCTCCCCACCTCTGACCCCGTGTCCCAGCCCTGTGCGTGACAGGACAGCTCACCAGGAAACAGGACAGATATGCTGTCTGTCCTGACACCCTCTGGCTGCGCCCAGCCCTGAGTGCTGCAGTGGGAGGCTCCCGGGCAGGGTCCCTCACAAGGCTGTGACTTTCCCCTGCAGGCAGCCTGGCTGGGCATCAACATCTTCCTCTTCACCTACTACTTTCTGTTCTTTGACCGGGACGAGCGCTATTTCTACACCAGGGCCATCCTCGGGGTAAGGTGCTCCCACAGCACCCTGCCTGCCCAGGCACACGAGCCCCTGGGGGCCCTGCTGCCGTGGGGTGGGGGCTGCAACATCCCACACCCCTTTCACGTTCTGTTCTCTCCAGCCCACCATCATTCCATCCCATGCCGTGGCATTGCACCATGCTAGTCCCTGCCTTGATCCCTGTCTGGTCTCAGCCCAACAGCATCCCAGCCCAGCCTAGCTCCCCTGTCCCAGTCCTCTCCTAGCTCACCTCTCCCAGTCCCCATGCCAGTCTCCATCCCAGCTCCCAGCCCAGCTCAGCACTGACTGGCCCCATCCTGGCCCGGTCCTGGCCCAGCACGCCAGGACAGTGGTGCTCACCCCTCTCTTCTCCCCAGTCTGCCTTGGCATGGGCTCGAGCATCAGCCAAGTGCCTCAACTTCAACAGCATGCTGATCCTGCTGCCCGTCTGCCGCAACCTGCTCTCCTTCCTCCGCGGGACCTGCTCGGTGAGTGTCCCGTGGTGGCACAGCCAGTGTGGCCGTCCCCGTCCCTGTGCCACCCTGACACCGCTGCCTCTCTGCAGTGCTGCAGGCGGACGTTGAGGAAGCAGCTGGACCACAACCTCACCTTCCACAAGCTGGTGGCCTACGCACTGGCCCTGCTCACAGGTACCCCGGCACTGGGATGGGGTGACAGCGGGGACTGGGAGCTGCCCGGTGGGTGACTGCCTGTCCCCTGTCCAGCTGTGCACACCATCGCCCACCTCTTCAACCTGGAGCGCTACAACCAGAGCCAGCAAGCCGCTGACAGCAGCCTCCCCGCTGTCCTCTCCAAGATGCACCTGCAGGGCAGCCAGTGGCTGAACCCCATCCACTCCAACCAGACGGTGAGTGTGGCCTTGGCATCCAGCAGCCGAGCAGCGCCTGTCCCCTGTGCCCCTAACCCTCCCTGCTGCCCTGCAGACCGTCGAGTATGTGGCTTTCACGACCATCCCGGGGCTCACGGGGGTGATCATCACGCTGGCACTCATCCTCATGGTCACGTCCTCCACCGAGTTCATCCGCAGGAACTACTTTGAGCTCTTCTGGTACACTCACCACCTCTTCCTCGTCTACTTCGCCGGCCTCGTCATCCACGGCATCGCGTAAGGCTCCTCAGCACTGCCCAGGGCAGCACGGCGAGGGCAGGGCACACAGCCCCTTGCACACAGACCCTAGCAGGGCAGCCGTGGGGCTGTGAGCTGCCACCAGCCCAGCTGGCCTCACGCCGTGTGGCTCAGCCCTGGCTGGGGCAGGAGCCGGCCCCTGGGCTCATCCTCACTCCCTGCAGCGGGCTGGTGCGTGGGCAGACGGAGCAGAGCATGGCAGAGGTGCACCCCTCTCACTGCGCCGAGTACCTCACACGGCGGGAGCAGAACTGCACCCACCAGTGCTGCACTGACCCCGAGTTCGGGGGCATCCCTGCCGAGGTAGGGCACTGGTGGGGTGGCTCTGGGGGAGAAGCTCTCCCCTTGCCCTTGGCCTGCCCTGGCCCTGCCCAATCCTTCGCTCTCATCCACCTTCACAGTCCTGGAAGTGGGTTCTCGCCCCCATCATCCTCTACGTCTTTGAGCGGATGCTGCGGGTCTGGCGGGCGCAGCAGAAGGTGGTTGTCAAAAAGGTGGGTGGTGAGGAGCCTGCTCCTCTGCCAGCTCCTGCCCTTGGGAGTCAGGAGCCACAGCCCCTCGCCGTGGTGGCCGTGGGGAGGCGGGCAGGGGCCACAGGCCCAGCCCCTTCCCAGGGACAGGGGCCAGGCTGGGCGCTGAGCCCTGCCGTGCCCCAGGTTGTCATGCACCCTGCCCGCGTGCTGGAGCTGCAGATGCAGAAGAAGGGTTTCTGCATGGAGGTGGGGCAGTACATCTTCATCAACTGCCCCGCCATCTCCCCGCTGGAGTGGCACCCCTTCACCCTCACCTCTGCACCCGAGGAGGATTTCTTCTCCATCCACATCCGGGCAGCTGGCGACTGGACAGAGCGTCTCATCGACACCTTCCAAGTGCAGACACCCAGGTGGGTTGGGGAGTGCCCAACAGGCCGTGCCAGGGGTTTGGGGAGGCCGTGCCTCTCACCCAGACCTGCTTTGGCCAGGGTGGAGGTGGATGGTCCCTTTGGCACAGCCAGTGAAGACGTGTTCCAGTACGAGGTGGCCATGCTGGTTGGCGCGGGCATCGGCGTCACCCCCTTCGCCTCCATCCTCAAGTCTGTCTGGTACAAGTTCCAGCAGGCTGACCAGACCCTCAAGACCAAGAAGGTACACAGAGCGTGCCATGGCACCAGCTGTGGGTTTCTTCCTCTGGCTCTGCTCCACCTTGAGCAATCCCTCTCCCCCTGTATCCCAGATCTACTTCTACTGGCTCTGCCGGGACACAGGAGCCTTTGCCTGGTTCAACGACCTGCTGGCCTCTCTGGAGCAGAAGATGGCCGAGTCGGGCAAGGCAGACTTCCTCACCTACCGCCTCTTCCTCACTGGCTGGGACACCAGCATTGTGAGTCAACCACAGGCTGGCACGCTGCAAGAGAGGGGCACAGGGTGGCAAGCTGGGCAGCAAGGGCAGGGCAAGCACGACAATGGCTTTTAGGCACAAAGTCCAGCACAGTGCTCGGTGGGATCATCATGGGTGCTTGGATGCTGCTCTGTGGTGAGGGACTGGAGGGGGGCTCACGGGTGGTGCCTGGGGTTCTCACCATCCCTGCCTGCCCAGGCCAACAACGTGGCACTGCACTTTGACACCGCCACGGACACAGTGACGGGCCTCAGGCACAAAACCATCTTCGGGCGGCCCATGTGGAACACGGAGTTTGCAGCGGTGGCTGCAGCCCACCCCAGGTGAGAGCTGAGCACGGAATTCGGGATGTTGGAGCTGGAGGCACGGCCTCTACCCTGGCACTCAGCACTGGGCTGGCTTTGGGAGAGGTGTGCCATCCCGGGCAGGGAGCCCATACAGCTTTTAAATCCCCTTTCCCTGAGCTGCCCGCCTGGCATGGACATGCCCGTGTGTTTGCAGGTCAGTGGTCGGTGTGTTCCTCTGTGGGCCAGAGGCCCTGGCAAGGAGCCTGAAGAAATCTTGTCACCAACACTCCAGCCTGGACCCCAGGAAGGTCAAATTCTACTTCAACAAAGAAAACTTCTAAGTGGCAGCGAGGCTGGCACCCCAGCAGGCACGGACCCTGACTGTGCTGCCTCAGGCCTTTCCAAAGCAAGGCCAGGGAGAAACATCTGGGCATGCACTGAAGCCAAGCAACACACAGCAAGGTACTCTCTCTGTGAGAACTTCCAGGTTCAAAGACTGCTGCCTGCCTGTCCTGGTGTCCAAGAGGTCCTCATGGAGCAAGAGAGCCTGCAGCTCCAGCCAGCCCCTGGGACAGCAGAGCCACGTTCTGTGATGCTGCTGGAGCAGCAGGGAGCTGTGGGAGCCCAGCGGGTCGGGCAGCACCACTGGATGGGGATGGGACATGGGCATCCCCGCAGGTGTCAGGGGCCAAACCTGCCCCTCAGGGTTTAAACACTCTTTTGTACAAGAATAAATTAAACTTCCTCTTCTTTGTAATGAAAGCCTCCGTGGTGACTCAGCTGTGCAGGTACAGAGGAGCCAATACTCTGCCCCTTGCAGGGCTGCAATAGAGGAGCTGGTTGACAGCAATCCCTCTGGGGTGCAGGATCAGACACCCCTCTGCATGGGCTGGCTGCCACCCTGGCACCCAGAGCCAGCCTGCAGGCAGCACACAGCTCAGCTCCCACAGGCTCTGCTGTATGCAGAGGGAAACCCCGCTCCCTGGTAAGTGATACTGCAATTGGATCCAGAGCCCTTCCTGCCCTGCCAGCAGGGACAGAAAGCCAAGCTCTCTGTCCTGCCCTTCCCCTAGACCCCTGTAAACAGCACAGTACAAGAAATTCCATTATTAATTCTTGCCCTGGTGTGGGGAGGAGGGAGAATGGCAAGTGGTTTGGACAAGACTGGAGCCAGGCCACGCTGCTCCCAGAACCCAACACTCCCACTCTGGCCTCCATGAGAGACCAAACAAGGCAGCCAGGGACATGGATTTACTCAAACCCTCCTCCCACTTTATTTCAAACACCATAAAATATACACAGGAAAAAAAAAAGGATGAACTGGAGGAAAAAACCTCTTGAGGGTGACACAACCTCTCCTAAAATGCACCATCAGCTCAGGCAGCAATGGGAAGCAGCGGCCCTGGAGCATCCCCTCTATCCAGCACATGGCATCTCCATCTTGTGCCTGCCAGAAAGAAGGAGAGGAGGGTGAGCCTGGCACAGAGGGAAGCAGGGCAGAGTGCCATCCTAGGCAGCTCTGTTTTACTGGAGGGGAGCAGGCCCAGGGTGAGACCAGGTTAAGGACATCACCTGTCAGGGTGCCCCTGTGGATTTCTGGATCTGCTCCTTCAGAATGAGGATGCTCTGCCGCTGTTCTGGGGGCAGCATGGCGATCTGGTCTGCTGTCAGCTGCAGGACCTGCATGATCAGTGCTGCCTGTGGGGAAAGAGGGGTCAGACAGGTGCCCTGCCAGAGCATCCACAGCGTACCAGAGCCAGGGAGGGGCTGACCCCGCCACAGAAAGGCACACAGAAGTGGTGCTCCTGCTGTCTCACCCTTTCCCTTTTGTTCCCTCACCTTCTCGTGATCCTGGGGGGTGACCTGGCTCTGTCCAGGGCTGAAGCCTCCAGGCTGACCAGCTCCTTGGACTCCTGCCCCAGGTATGCCTCCTCCCTGCATGCCTGCCCCAGCCATGTTAGGAACCTGGGGGAGTAAGAGAGGGGTTAGGGACTGGGGGTTTGTGGACTGAGCAACACAAATTCAGGAAGGTAAAACAGATGTTCAGATGCATGCCCTCACGGACTGCTTGAAGATGCCTGAGCACGAAGAGAGAGTGCATTTTACGTGCTCTCCCCTCCCAACTGCTGTGCTCCTTTCTGTGTCCCAGGAACAGGCAGAGACAGGCCTGAGCCCTGTCCTGTCCCCAGCTGCTGGGCAGTGCCTGGGGAATGGGACAGACGCCCTGAGCCCTCAGAGCCAGTGAGCAAAGCCTGGTGCTCTGCAGAGCTGCTGCTCCGTGGGACACCCCCAGCCAGCCCCAGCCCACGGGACGCTGTTGGTGCCCGACCAGCCCAGCAGAGCCGTGTGTACCTGGCGGGGCCCCTGCGGGCCACTGGCTCCCATGGTAAGTGGCCCAGGACCCTGTATGCCACCAGGCATCGGGCCACGCGGGGTGGGACCGGGCCCGCGAGGCTCCAGGCCCCGGGGCTCCAGCACCCTGGCCTCCATGGCCCTGGCCTCCAGCACTCGTGGCTCCAGGACCCGCGGCTCCAGGCCTCGCGCCTCCAGCGCCCGCGCCTCCATCACCCGCGGCTCCAGCCCTCGGGGATCTCTGCCGACTGCGGAGGAAACACAAGGTGAGCTCCTGAAGGAAGCAGCGCTGCAAGGAGTGTGGGAGTGAGCTTGCCGTCTCCATTGTCTGGGGGCTAGCAGGCACCCGAGAAGTGCAGGGCCGGGGGCAGAGGGGACATGCCTGGAGAAAGTCCCTTGCACCCTGGGACTGTCCCTCCTCGCCTGGAGCCAGTCATTTCACTGCCCAAACCCCCTTCCTCTGCCTTGGGTCGGGGCAGCCGGCTGCACTGACTTCCTGCCTGCACAATCCAAGCCACCCAGTGTTTCATGCCCCCTCTCTCACCTCGAGCATCCATCAAGGGCCCCCGCGGCTCTCCCATCAGTGGTCGGGGTTCTCCCATGGGTCCCCCCCTCATCTCATGGGGGGGGCCACGGCTGTCATGACCAGGCATATGGTGCATAGGGGCTCCCTGGTGGGGCGGCCCAAGGTAACCTCTGACGCAGAGAGACGAGGAGAGCAAAGCAGGAGGAGGAGAAAAAGCGAGAGAGTGTGAATCAGACACTGGCTTGGCACGGTCTGGGCAGAGCGCTGGGATTGCCCCCGAAGCCGGCCGCAGGGGAGGAGGGTGAGGCTGGCACAGGGATGGGTGCTGGTGGCCCCATGCCACAGGGCAGCTGCCATCACCCCGGGGATATCCCTTCCCCGGGGAAACGGGCCGGCCCCACGGCTGGCAGCACACAGGCTGGTGCCATCCCTGTCCTCAGCGAGAGGCTACCCTTGGGCAGGGGACAGTGCCAAGGGCTCCTCTCCTTCCCTCTCCCCTCACCTGGGCTCCACTTCTCCAGTGACTGAGAGCAGGGTCCCTCCGCGAGGGTCATTCGGGGCATCTCCCAAAAGGCCTCGGGGCGGCGGGCCACTAGCAGGTAGAGGTCCACGCTGCATAGGGGCCCTCGGGTCTGGCATGGGCACTGCCAGGGAGACACACAAGAACTCGTGAGGATCTGCATGAGCAGTGCCGTGCCAAGACTGTCCCTGGCGCTCTCAGGCCGGGCGTGGGGCAGCCACGCTGCTCCCCTGAGCTCTGCTGTCTGCTGGGGACACGGCCCCACACACGAGGCTGGAGCACACCACAGCCCTTCCCTGGCTGCCAATTTTATTCCTCTCTTTCTCCTCTCGGGTTTTATTTAAAGTTCCTTATGGCACGAGGGGTCAAACCAAGCATGGGTGCCCCCATGGCAATCCCTACAAGCGTGGGCATCAGCACCCTGCTGACGTGGGGCCAAGAGCAAAGCAAGACCTGGAAGGCTCCTGGAAGCACAGTGTCAAAGAGGGCTGGATCTTAGGCAGAAGCCCTTTTCAAACAGGCTCTCCTTTCCACTGGAGGCTCCATGCATGGTTCTAGCCTGTTCTCTCCTGTAGCCCTCAAAGAAATCCTGCCTCCATCTCCTGTGACTGCTGTCAGGCTACAAGGAGTGACATGCCAGTCCCTGGCCCTGAGAGCAGCAGGGTGAGAGCTGCTGTCTGCACACTCCACAGCGAGCTCCACGAAGAGGAGCTGGTGCAGGGTACCTTGGACGCGTTCGATAGACGCAGGCCTGGCAGGTCCCACGGGCGAGAGCTGCAGGTTTCCTGGGCAAGCAGCAGGAAAAGAGGGAAAGAGCAGACACGTAAATAGTGTATGCACACATGCACAGGCTCTGGGGACAGTGCTGCCTGCACGATCACGCACCCTGAAGTCCCCAGGAAAACCTACAGAGAAAATGTTCCAAGTCTGGCTTTATCAACCTCTTCTGTTCACGCCCCCTTTGTCAGCACAGGCAGGACAGCCAGCGTGGCACAGTCCTTCCCTCACTCGGGGACAGAGGCAGGCAGAGAAGACATCCTGCCAAGAGACACGGCACTCCGTGGGGCCACGCTGGCCCCACGACGCACAGCCAGCTCCTGCTCTCCAAAACCTCCTGGGTGCCAAGAACTATCAGACAGCTTTCAGGAAGACAGTGCCCACCCCAAAGAAAATGAGAGTCAGCTGACCCTAAGGCCAAAGGATCTCGGACTAGGCTGGCATGTTGCTGGAACAAGGCCTAGGATAGAAGTCAAGGCAATAGAGGTGACAGGTGTCAGCACGTGCTGCTCCTGGGAGAACAGGAACACCGGGGCCGTACTAACCTACACATGGCAACGTGTGACCCGTAAGGAACCGGGGCCCGGGGCTGGGCCGGACGGACCGTGCCTGCGGAGGGAAAGCCGAGCCGTCACCCTCCGCAAGTCCCTGCCAAGCGTGAAGCCAGGACGGAGGCGCAGCTCCCTCTGCTGGGCACGGCCGCAGGACGCGGCGGCCGCACCTGTCCCAGGCAGCCGGGGAGCACAAGGACCAGAGAGCAGCAAGCTCTGCCTGCCCGCACAAGCACAGGGACAGACACGGGCTCGCAGAGGTGGAAAACACAGACACATCCCGCTGGGGGGACAGGCAGCTCTCCTGGCTGCCAGGGCACGACTGCACAACAGCGTGCAGAACGAGCTGGGAGCCAAGCGGGGCACGGGCTGAGCCCTGGGAGCCAGGGAGCTGCTGCCACAGCCCTGTGCCTCAGGGAACAAAGCCGGGCACGGGGCTGGGCACAGCCGGGCTGCAGACAGCTGGGGCACAGCACTGCTCCCTGGAGCGAGGCTCACACCACACACAGCACTACACACGTCTGTTTTACCTTGTCCACGCTCCAAGGGGACTGGCCCTGCACCTGGCATCCCAACCTGTGGCTGCATCCCACCTGAGAGGGGACAGGCAGAGATCAGACCCCTCCTCAGCATGCCTGACCACTAACCTGTTCCTTTGGTCCCAAATACCTTCTTGCTCCCAGCTCCTGGGGGAGCACCTGGAGGTTTATTCCCTTGGTGTTGGTTCCCCCCAGGGATAATCCAACTTTGCAGCCCACCTCTGGCAGCAGCACAACCACAATGTACAGCACAGGATTACGTGTGCTCTCACAGGCTGGGCCCTCTGGTTAGGGGGAAGGCAGAGCGGGGTGTCTGCAGGACCAGTGTGCCCACGGGTGGGGCAGCTCGGCCCAAACTCACCTCCTGGAGCCAAGGGGCCAGGGCCTGGGCCCTGCACAGAGGCTGCCATCTGTCCTGGGGCTGGCACTCCCCCCTGCATGGGAGGCTGCATCAGAGGAGGAGCGCCGTTGACGTGCATGCCGCCCTGCCCGGAGAGACACGGCATCTCAGGGACACCCCACGCCGGGCACGCGCCCAGCTGGAGGGCTGGCACTGCCCGTCTCCCCTGCACGGCTCGTGGGGTGTGCAGGCTCTTACTATGGGCTGTGGCTGGGACGAGGGGGTGTTCTGTGGGTTCAGCTGCGCGTTGGGGCCCGGCCCAGGCCCCGGGCCCGGCCCAGGCCCTGGCCCTGGCACTGCCTGCTGGTTGCCTGGGATCAGAGGAGGAACACTGGTCTGGCGATGCAGGATTTTCTAGGGGAGGAAGAAGACGAAAAGAGTCCTTTCCCACTGCCACTCCACAAAGATTACCACCACCATCCTCCCAACCCAGCCGCAGGGACAAACCAGCGCGATCTCCGGGTCCACGATCCTCATGACCACCTGGGCCTGCAGCAGGGCATAGGCCAGCTGGGGGTTCTGGAGCAGCATGTTCCTGGCTTCCTGGGGGCTGTTCTGGACACACAGCTGCGAAGACAGGCACTGATCAGAGCTCTGAGGAGGTGTGCCACGGGTGGGAGGGCGCAGGCAGTGCCTCACACAGGGAGCACGGCCCTGCTGCACTCACCTTCATCTGCTTCATCAGCTCAAACATCTGCTCGGGTGGCAGGCTGGCCACGGCCCGGCTGATGGACTCGGGGGCATCCTCTGGGTTCACAGGGTCCCCATAGGGTGACTCTATGATGGGTGCACCTGTGCCCAAGCCTGCAATACAGTTAGTGACTTTTTACTGCAGCACGAGCAGTGCATGCAACGGGCTCATCAGGAGGGGAGCACCAGCCCACCAGGGAAAAGGAGGCACAGAACCAGGGAGACCTTAGGAGGAATTTCTTCCCAGAAGGGGTGGTTAGGCATTGGAGCAGGCTGCTCAGGGAGCCTGTGGAGTCACTGCTCCTGGAAGTGTTTAAGGCTGGAAGTGGCATTTAGTGGCGCAGTCTAGCTGATGCAGTGTGCTTGGTCAAAGCTGGGACTGTGATCTTTACACACCTTTTCCAACCTAAGCAATTCTGTGTTTCTGTGTTCACCTGGGAGTGACAACGCAGAGCTGAGCCCCTGGGGCACAACTCACAACACCCCCAGAGCAGGGCAGCTCTGCCAGCCTGGAGAAGAGACACGTTGTGCCCTGCAGCAGTGCCGCGAGGTGCCCCAAGGCCCACTCACTCTTGAGCTCCTCCTTGTTCTTCTCGCTGGCGGCGTTGTCCACGCGCAGCGCGCGCCCGCTGAACTCGCGCCCGTTCAGGTTGCGCATGGCGCTCAGCGCCGTCTCCTGGTCCTGGTACTCGCAGAAGCCATAGCCCTTGGGCTTGCCCGTCTCCCTGTCGTACACCAGCCTGGCACAGGAGACACGGGCTCTGAGGGCGGGCTGGGCACCCCGCGGTGCCCAGGGACCCTGCGGGCACGGGGACACAGCCCAGCAGGGCTGGGAGCAGTGACAGCTCAGGGGACACAGGGACACAGCCCAGCAGGGCTGGAGAGAGCTCAGGGGACACAGGGACACAGCCCCAGCAGGGCTGGAGCAGTGAGAGCTCAGGGGACACAGGGACACAGCCCCAGCAGTGCAGGGCCCCCAGAGCAGCGTGCCCACACCCACCTGCTGTGCTGGGGACACCCTGCTCCATCTCCAGGTGCCCCTGGCACAGCTGGCACAGCCTCACAACCCCCACAGGTGCTGCTCTGCGTGAGGAGCCAGCCTCGGGGGGCACGGGGAAGTTTACACGGGGTACCGGGCAAAGCTCCCGGGCCAAAGCGGCTGCCAAGCCCCAGAGCAGGCAGCCCGAGCAGGCGGCCAAAAGGTGCAGGTGGCACCTGGGCACGTGGGGGGCTGGCAGTGCCGGGGCACGGCCGGGCTGGGCGGTTGCAGAGGCCTCTCCCCGTTCGGGACCGGCGGCCCCGCGGCTCCCGGGCCGCTCCGCGGGGCTCGGCCTGCGGGGCACCCGGCCGTTCTCACCTAAAGCTCACCACGGGCCCAACCTCCGAGAAAATGTCCTTCAGCTGCTCCTCCGTGGCCTCATACGGGGCCCGCCCGAGCCCCCTTCCCCTGCAGGCCGCGGCACCGCCGCGCGGGCTCACCGAACACGGAGCGCAGGGAGCGATCCACGGCGGGGTCCCGCACCGACAGCCCCGCCATCGCGCCGCCCGCGCCGCTTCCGGCCCGCGCGCCGCCCGCCCGCCGCTTCCGCTTCCGCCCGCACCGAGCTCGGCAGCGGCGCTTTCAAAAAGCGCTCCGGCGGGAAACGCGGCGCCCGCGGCTGCGGCGGGGGAGTGCCGGGACCGCCCGGGACCCCCGGCACCGGGAGCGGCCTCGGGGATACCGGGAGCGGCCTCGGGGATGCCCTGCAGGGCCGCCCGCCGCGGCACGCCGGCACGGAGGCTGCGGGACGAGCTGCGGCGGCTGCTGGGGCCCGCCTGGTGCGCCGAGCTGGAGCGGGACGTGCCGCACGCCTGGCACAGGCACGGCGACCTGGTGCTGCTGAGCGAGGACTGCTTCAGGGCCGAGCCCTGGGAGAGGCTGGGTAAGGGCGAGCAAACCCCCCTGCCCTGCCCTGCCCTGCCCTGCCCCAGGCTGCCCGCAGCTCCCCCCCTGACCGCCCGGCCCCGCAGGCAGCGCCTGGAGGAGCAGCGGCTGCTGGACGGGCGCTACGGGCTGCAGCGGCTGCCCGGCGGCCGCGTGGCGCTGCCCGTGCTGCCGGAGCGGCTCCCCGAGCTGCGCCTGCCCTGCGAGCTGCCCTGCGAGCTGCTGCGCGTCCAGGTGAGCGCGGCCGCGGGCCCCGTAGCACAGCCCCCCTGCCCTGCCCTGCCTGCCCTGCCCCGGCCCGGGGTGCCCACAGCTCCCCGGTGCTTGCTGCAGGCTCGGCGCTCTGGGACAGGCTGGGTAAGGGCTAGCACAGCCCCCCTGCCCTGCCCTGCCTGCCCTGCCCCGGCCCGGGGTGCCCACAGCTCCCCGGTGCTTGCTGCAGGCTCGGCGCTCTGGGAGACGGTGGCCTCGGCCCTGGGGGCCCGGCGGGTGGCCAGGCGGGGACGGGTGATGCCGGACGGGATGCGCAGCCCCAGGGTCACCCTGCTGCTGGGCCAGCACGGCTGGGTGGAGCACGTGGACAACGGCATCAGGTGGGCAGCAGCTGCAGGGTGGGGCTGGCGGGAGGGGGCCGGCCTCACCGTCTGAGCGGGGTCTTCCAGGTACACCTTCGACGTGACCAAGTGCATGTTCTCCCCCGGAAACATCACCGAGAAGCTGCGTGTGGCCTCGCTGCCCTGCTCCGGGGAGGTCCTGGTGGATCTCTATGCAGGTAACTGGGATGGAGGAAGGACAGGTGCTGATGGCATCCAGGTATGCACGAAATGTCATTTCCACCTTATGAAAATACTCAGAGCTCCTGTCTTGTCCTTGAGCCCTTCAGCTGTGCTGGCACTGCTGTCCTGCCTGTGTCCCTGCAGCCTCTGGACACTTAGGATGTCCTGTTCTCAGGCTCTGTGCCTAGTGCTGCTTTGGGGAATCACCTGGATCCAGGGGAAGATTTGCCACTGTTTGTGCCTAAGGAAGTTAGTGCTTCCAATTTGTGCCACACTGAAAGGACATGGCACCCACAAAACTGCTGTGGATTAATCAAACTAAACAGTAATCTGGACACTTCTGCAGAGCCAGGCAGGTCTCAACCTGATGGCAAAGACTGAAGGCAAAATAAACTCTAAACATTTTTCAAGGCAGATTTTGCTTTTGCAGAAGAGGGAGGGATAAATTTCCATTCTTACAGTGTTTGGGCTTTTTCCAACCCAGAGCAAAGGCAGGGTGGCAGTGTGCATCCTGCCCTGCCCTCGGGGAGCAGTGTGGATCTCTGGGGGTCCCTGCCCTCAGCCTCTGCCTCCTCCTGCCCGCAGGCATCGGCTACTTCACGCTGCCCTTCCTGGTGCACGCCGGAGCTGCCTTTGTGCACGCCTGTGAGTGGAACAGCCACGCCGTGGAGGCGCTGCACAGGAGCCTGCTGCTGAACGGGGTGCGGGATCGCTGCCGCATCCACAGCGGGGACAGCCGGCAGGTGAGCGTGAGCGCTGCCCCCGGGCCGCGGCTCCTCCCCGCGGGCTCCCCTGACCTCCGCTCTGCCCCCAGCTGCAGCTGCGGGACGTGGCAGACAGGGTCAACCTGGGGCTGCTTCCCAGCTCGGAGGAAGGCTGGCCGGCGGCCTGCCGCGCCCTGAAGAAGGACACGGGTGGGGTTCTGCACATCCACCAGAACGTGGAGAGCCGGCCGGCGCCGCGCGGCGCGGAGCTGCTGGCCGGGCGCGGCTCCACGGGGCCACGGCGCCCCACGGGCCTCAGAGCCGAGTGGCAGAGCTGGGCCGAGGGCACGGCCGCACGCATCCGGGGGCTGCTGGCAGAGCTGCACGGGCGGCCCTGGCGCAGCAGCGTCCTGCACGTCGAGCCGGTGAAGTCCTACGCGCCACACGTGCACCACCTCGTGCTGGACCTCGAGTGCCGGCCCGTGCTGCCCGCTTAGGGGGGCACGGGCACCGCTGGGGCTCCAGCTGCCCTGGGAGGGTGCCCGGCAGTGTCCTGCTGCCAGCCTGCGTGTGCCTTGTGTCCCCCGGTTCCCAGGTGGCAGCAGTGCCTCCCCATGCCCAGGGAACCAAGGGTTCTGCTCCCCATGGCAGATCCCCTCAGGATCCAGACCAGGATGGAGCAAGCTGGGGCTCACAGTGTTCTGCCCTGGCTCTGCCCAGGTCTTGGACACGTGGTAGCACCTTGAGCCCAGTTTTCACAGTGCTGAGAGGCCTTGGGCTCCTGCTGGGTTCATTTCAGCAGGCCAGGGACAAGCTTTGTGCTTGTATTTACCAGCACGCTTTTATAATGTACTGGAAACAAGTCTGTTCATCTGGTTTCCTTCCTATCTTTTCTTCAGAAATAAAGATGTTTCACCACCTCTTGTTGGTTTCCACTTAAAACATGAACACTGGTGCACGTGTGGGGGTCTGGCCTGGGATGTGGGTGCTCTGGTGGTGTGTGGAGGGGCTCAGGGAGCACAGCCGCTGTGGCACTGTCTGCCTGCAAGCCCAAAGCCCTCTCCGTGTGTTGTGTACTCCGGATGGAGCGAACCCCTGCCCCATGAGGAAGCTCCCGCTGGCCCTTTGATGTCGCCGCGGTTTTTTCCACTGTGTCAGTGTCGCATCGCTTCCCACAGCGCTGGGAGCCTCTGCCTCTCCCGTCCCTGGGGTGCGGCCGAAAGTGCGGGCAGAGCCGCGTCCTCTCGTTTGCCTCGGGGCTGCAGCCGGGTGGCCTCCCCGCTGTCCTGTGGTGACACACGGGCTCCCCTCGTGTGGAGCCCCTCCTCGGCCGGCCGCGTGTGCTCCGTTCCCCGGTGCCTGTGCTGCGGGGGCAGGGACGAGGCGCCCTGCCGGGACCGTATCTCTGCCACAAGGACAAGGGCAGCGCTGGAGCCTTGCGGCGGGAGGACACCGCGCCCCTGGGCCCTCCTTGGGGGGTCCCCCGCAGTTCGGGTGTCGGTGCGCTCCGTGCTCCTCGGGAGAGGCCGCGCACCCAGCCAGGGCCACGGGGCACCGGGGAAAGCGGGGCTGGAGCGCGGCTCTGCCGGGCTGCCCGGGGCAGGGGCTGCGGGGAGCGGCACCGCCTCCCGCACGGGCCGCCCCGTGCGTGCCGCAGGTGCGGCCGGCGCGGCTCCTTTAAGGCAGCGGCACCGCCCTCCGTCCCTCCCGGTGCCCTCCGCTGCCGGGAGCCGCGGCCGGAGCGCTGCAGGTACCGGCAGGGTCGGGGGGCTCCGCCGGCGGGTACCGGGGTTCCTCCGCGGACGGGGAGGACGGGATCCCTCGGCTGGGGGGGAACCAGGGTCCCTCTGTGTCCGGGGGTCGAGCCGCGGTGTCCCGGGCCGGGGGCAGCTCCCAGCCCCGGCGGCCGCGCTGGGAACGCGGTGTTCCCGGTTTTCCCGACAGAGGAGCCTGGGGTCCGTCCCGCGCCCCCTCCTCCCCCAGGGACTGCGGGGCCGGGAAGGACGGGACGGTCCCTCCCGCCGGTTCCGCCGGGCCGGGGCGGCTGCAGCCCCCGAGCAAGCGCTCCGCTCCTTCGGGGCTGCCGCGGCCGCCCGGCTCCTGGTGCCGCCGCCGGCCAGCCGGATCCGGCCCCGGTCCCTGCTGCGGCTCCTGGTGCTGCCTCCGGCCAGCCGGATCCGGCCCCGGTCCCGGTCCATGCCGCGGGTCCTGGCGCTGCCTCCGGCCAGCCCCGGCCCCGCTGCCCTCGTGGGAGGAGCAGCCCCGGGCGGCTCCTTCCTGCCGGGGCTGCCGCGGGTGCTGGGCGTCAGCCCGGTCCCACGGAGCCGGCTGAGGTCACCGGGGCTGGCAGGCGGCCCGAGCCCAGCCCGGGGCAGGGCGCTGGCGGCGGGCGGGCCGGAGTGCCGGGCACGGGGCTCCTGGCGGGGCCGGAGCAGTCAGCAGCTGGCGTGTCCCTCGCTGGCAGCCGGTGAGGGCCAGGCAGCCCGGGTGCAGCGATGTCGGAGGCTGTGGACCTGTCCTTCCTGTCGGACGCGGAGAGAGAGCTGATCCTGCAGGTCCTGCAGCGCGACGAGGAGCTGCGCAAGGCGGAGGAGAGGAGGATCAGGTGCGGCTGGAGCCGGCGGGAGCTGCTTCCCCTCCTGGCTCTGGAAGCGGGTGGGTGACGGGTGTCGCGGGGTCCCGGGCGCCTGTGACAGCTCCCGGTGTGGGTGTGAGCAGGCGCCTGAAGAACGAGCTGCTGGAGATCCGGCGCAAGGGAGCCAAGCGGGGCAGCCAGCGCTACAGCGAGCGGACCTGCGCCCGCTGCCAGCAGAGCCTGGGCCGCGTCAGCCCCAAGGCCAACACCTGCCGGGGCTGCAACCACCTGGTGTGCCGGGACTGCCGCTCCTACAGCCCCAGCGGCTCCTGGCGCTGCAAAGTCTGCACCAAGGAGGCGTGAGTAGTGGCGGGCACGTTCTGTACATCCCTCCTGTCCCCTTCCTCCTCTCATTGCCTCAGCTTGATGCCCCATAGCCAGCCTTTCCTAGCCTGGCTGGTCCTCCCCAGTGCAGGGCAGCTTGCTCTGCTGTCACTCCTGGAGAGGGTTCTATGTTTGGGTGATGGAGAAATGGGTCATACCCCACTCTCATGTCTCCTTTGTGTCCTGCTCCTTCGCCCCCTGAACTGACTGCAGCATCCCCCGTGCCCCTTGCACAGCCTGTGTTTCAAGCAGCCCAGTTTTCCTCCCTTTTGGCCTCCCCTGTCCTACAAAACTTGCCTTGTTCCCGTGTTTGCTGAGGATGTAGCTGAGCCTGTCAGCTGCCTGGTGAATGGTCCCTGCCCGGTCACCTGCTGGTTGTGCCCACTGTGCCTGTGTTCTTGGGCTGCGGCAGCACCGAGGGTGGGTTGGGGCACAGCAGCCAGCCCCCACTGGCCCTGACTGCCCCCACCACCCCTGCCCTGCAGGGAGCTGAAGAAGACCACGGGTGACTGGTTCTATGACCAGAGGGTGAACCGCTTCGCCAACCACCTGGGCAGCGACATGGTGCGGCTGTCCCTGCGGCACAGGCCCACAGGTAGGGTGCCCAGCAGAGCCTCTCCCACAGCCCAGCCACCTGGGGTGCTCCAGCTTTGCCCAGTGCACCTCTGGATGGGAGCAGCTCCTGCTGCAGGCAGTGAGCTCGGAGCAGTGTTCCTCCTGATGCCTCTGTCCTTCCAGCCAGCAAAAGAGAGACTGTGGGACAAACCCTCCTGCAGAAAGCCCAGCTCAGTGAGCCCAAGAGCTCCTCTGCAGTCCGGCAGCCGAGCCCCCCTGCCCCCCGGGAGGAGTCCAGGTAGGAATCCCTGCTGTCCCCCTGCTCCAGGCAGCAGCTCTCATCTGCTGCAGGGCTGAGAGGAATGTGCTGCCCCACGCGGATCATCGGTGGCACAGGAGCTCTCTCAGACCAACCTCCTCGCCAAACAGGACATACCTGTGGTTTTGCTTGTCTGCAGTTTGTTTCCAGATGCCTCAGACCCTCGGGATGGCAAAAGCGACACAGAGTCCATGGAAAACATGAGCCTGGACAGCTACAGACCAAGTCCTGCTGATGTGGGGGGCAGGTGAGAGGATCTGGGGTGGGTTGTCCTTGGCAAGACTGGCTGGCAGAGGATGGACCCTTCATCTGAAGTGTTTTTCTCAGTCTGGTGGGGGGAAGCTGGCTCCTCGGGCTGGGCTGAAGCCTGTCCCTGGGCAGGAGGGTCCTGTGCTGCCAGGCTGCTGCGGGCAGCTCCAGGGGCACTTCCTGGCCAGCACTTGCTCTGCCAGCTGTGCCTGTGGCCTGGGACAGACCTTTCTGTGTCTGCCGCAGGAGGAACTCCCTGGAGAGAGCCGTCCCTGGAAAACAGGTTGTTGGGCCAGCAGGACCTGCTTCCTGCAGCCTGACCCTCCCTGCCCGCTCCAGGAGCGCGCTCTCTGACGGACGGGTGCGTGACGCTGCTCCGCGGCTCAGCCCTGGCCTGGGGCCTGGGGCTGGGCACCCATGGGCTCCCAGCCCTGCCCTGCTCTGAAGGGACTCCTCCTGCCCAGGATGCCACCGTGGGGACCCGCAGCAGCACCTTGGTGGACGAGCATGAAATGATTTTCAAGAAGAACCCCCGGCGGGTGGTGCGGCCTGCGGGTGAGAGATGTGCGGGTGCTGGCACGGCCGGGGTGGGCAGCTCCTCCTGCCTGGGCTGGGAAGGGCTTTCAGTGCCGCTGGGAGAGGCTGGGGCAGCCCCTTGAGAGAGGGAGCAGCAGGGCTCTGCTCGTCCTGCTCTGTGCTGCTGTTCACCCCCTCTCGTGCAGACTACACCAAGTCCGTGATCGACCTGCGCCCCGAGGACCTTGTGGGGGAAGGTGGCTCTTTGGGGGACAGGAGCAAGTCAGTGCCTGGCCTCAACACGGAGCTGGTGAGACCCTGAGTGCCATGGAGATGGCTGCCAGCTGGAGCAGCCGGGTGTCTGGCTGGCTGTGCCCCAGCATCCCCACACCCTTGTCTCTGTGCTGCAGGAGGAGGAGGAGGAGGACATCGATAACCTGGTGGAGATCCACCGGCAGCGGGTGGCCCGGGGCAGCATGCGCAGCGGCACCTCCTCGGTGAGCCCCGTGTGTGCCTTGCCCTGCCCTGCCCTGCCCTGCCCTGCCCTGCCCTGCCCTGCTCAGGGAGGAGTGATGCACAGGCAGTGCCAAAGGGTTGGGTGGGAGCGAGGAAGGGCAGGCAGCTCCTGGAGGGAAGGGGTAAGGGCCTTGTGTGTGGGGGCTTCTTCCCCTCGGAGGGAATCAAAATCAGAGGCTCAGCTCTCTTCCAGGCTCTGTGTGGGTGGGAGGCGCCTGTGGCCATCCCCAGCCACGGGGAGCTGAGGGGGGCTGTGCAGAAAAGAGGCACGGGGAGTCGCCTTGCTGAGGATGAGGAGGGGATCCTGTGCCAGCCCAGCCCTGCCTGTCCTGCAGAGCACACTGGGGAGCATGGTCAGCATCTACAGCGAGGCCGGCGACTTCGGCAGCGTGGCTGTCACCGGGGGCATCTCCTTCTCCCTGAGCTACGAGCAGAAGACACAGACCTTGTTCATCCACGTGAAGGAGTGTCGCCAGCTGGCCTTTGGGGACGAGGGCAGGAGGCGCTCCAACCCGTGAGAGCAGGGGGCGATGGCTGCTGCCACCGCTGGTGGTGCCCGCCGGGGTTGTGGGTCCCCAGACATGGGGGCTGTAAGTGGGAGGGTCCTGGTGAGGCAGAAGGTCTGGGCTTGCCCCGGGGAGCTCGGAGGGTTAATTGTGGGGGGAGCTTGTTGAAGTGCTGCCCGTTGTCCCTTCAGGTATGTGAAGACTTACCTCCTGCCCGACAAATCCCGGCCGGGGAAGCGCAAGACGAGCATCAAACGCAACACCATCAATCCCCTGTACAACGAGCTGCTGAAGGTGCGTGGGGCTGGGCTGGGCTGGGCTGCAGGCACTCGGGGGGTGCTGCTGGGGCGGCCAAGGGGAGGGTGAGCTCCTAACCCTGCAGCGGGGTCTCTGCAGTGTCCAGAGATGCGCCCTGAAAGCTGCAGAATCCCTGCAGAGCACTCCAGCTGTGCCCTGCCCCAGTGCCACGGCGGGGGGAGGCACAGCTGCAGATGTGACTGTGTCACAGGACTGTCCCTGGCTCCTGTGGCATTCCCCAGAGCAGAGGCGTCCTGCTTCCCCTGAGTATTTCCAAGGTGGAGGTTTCCTGGCCCCTGGAGGCACGCGACAGTGGCAGGAGGGAGGGCAGCAGCCACAGGGGCAGAGATAAGACAGTTCTGGGCCCCAGGGCAGAACTCCTTGGCATTGCCCTTCACCATCCCTCACCTCAGTGCCAGGCTCTGAGTCTGGCACTGAGGTCAGGCACTCTTGCACAGGAGGGAGTGAGAGCTGTGCTTTGGTTTCTGGGCTCGCACAGCCAGCTTTGCTGAGGTCTTGTGCTCTGACCACCTGAGGCTCAGTGGTCTGGCAGAGCTCTGCTGGATGCCATGAGTCCTGGCTCCAAGGGCCACCTGCTGGGAGAGCACAGGCTCCTGCACCTCTGCCCCAGGACCCTGAGGTTTCGGCAGGCATGGAAGGAAAGAGGAACAGGCTCCTGTGCACGTCCATTGCTGCTCAGCCCTGTCTCCTCTGGTGCTCTGGTGAGCTGCAGCTGATGGAGTTTGCCTGGCCCGTGCTGTGCTGCCTGCTCACAGAGTTTTCTCCCCCCAGTATGAGATCAGCAAGTCCCTGCTGCTGGCCAGGACGCTGCAGTTCTCGGTGTGGCACCACGATCGCTTCGGCCGCAACACGTTCCTGGGGGAGGCTGAGATCCCCCTGGGCTCCTGGAACTTCGAGAGCCACCTGGAGGAGTTCCTGCCCCTGCATGGCAAGGTGTGCCCTGCTGCCCGCAGCCTGCCCTGCCTGCTCCTGTTGCCCCTCAGTGGTTCAGTGGGCAGAGGGACCTCGGCTGAGCATTGCCATGAGGCTTGTGCCAAATCAAATATTCGGGGGTATGAGAACCCCAGATGCAGACAGCAGTGCTGTTGTAGTGAAAAGGGGCAAATCTTCTGCCTTGAGCCTGGATTCCCTCCTCCTTGCCAGGTGATTGGGCCACAGTAAGGTCCCAGAGGAGCTGGGCTGCACTGGTCATGCTGGGCAGTTTTCAGGCACATCTAGAGAAGCCAAGAGCTTTGTCCCAGCCTGGGGAGTGCTGCACACCAGGCTGTCACTGGCTGTGCCGTGGCTCCTCTGCAGTGCTTGGTAACTCTCACCTCTTGGCAGATGGGGGCAGATGCTGCTGGTCTCCACCAGTACAGGGGGGAGCTGGTTGTCTCCATGAAGTACATCCCATCTGCCAAGCATCCTGGGGCTGGGAATGGCAGGAAAGGTGAGTGCTGAAGCTCTGGGATCACTGTGTAGCCCTGCAGGGCCTGCTCCTGGCCATGCAGGCTGGCTCTGGGTGGGGTTTTGGGGTGGTGTCACTGCAGCCTCCTCCTCTGCAGTGCTGCTCTGGGTCAGGGCAGAGCTGGCTGTCCCCAGGCTGCCCAAACCATCTCTGTACTTCCCTGGGGCTGGACCATTGGGCCCTGCATGAAGCAATTTTGTCTGTGTGTGCCCTCAGCAGGTGGTGCCAATACAGGAGAAGGCAAGAGGAGATGCCAGTCCAGGCTCTGGGATGAAGGATGTTCAGCAGGAACTTTCCAGAAGTTTGCAGTGGTAGAAATTAAATTGGATTAATTCGTGCTGTGTTGGGTTTTTCTAGGCAAAGCAGGGGAAGGGGGTGAGCTCCAGGTCTGGATCAAAGAAGCCAAGAACCTCACAGCAGCCAAGTCTGGAGGGACCTCAGACAGCTTTGTCAAGGGGTGAGTGAGGGTCCTGGGGTGGGGGGCAAGGAGGGCACCGTCCTCCCTGGCTGAATTCCCAAGGCTGCTGGGGCACCTGGAGGAGGCCCCGTGCAGGGTGTCATGGTCCTTCTTCCTGAGCCGTGCCAGGAAAGGCAGGAAGGGGGGCTCCAGGCCAGTCCTGGGGTGCTGGGGGGCTCCAGGCTGGGTCCTGGGGTGCTGGGGGGCTCCAGGCAGGTCCTGGGGGGCTCCAGGCCAGTCCTGGTGTGCTGGGGGGCTCCAGGCCGGGTCCTTGGGTGCTGGGGGCTCCAGGCCAATCCTGGGGTGCTGGGGGGCTCCAGGCAGGTCCTTGGGGGCTCCAGGCCAGTCCTGGGGCACTGGGGGTCTCCATGCCAGGTCCTGGCGTGCTGAGGCACCCCAGCCCCCCGAGCAGGAGGCGCTGCCCGTGTGCTGCTAAGCCAGGGGCTGCTTCCCCCAGCTACCTCCTGCCGCACAAAAACAAAGCCTCCAAGAGGAAGACGCCCGTGGTGAAGAAGACCCTGAACCCTCACTACAACCACACCTTCGTGTACAACGGGCTGCAGGCCGAGGAGCTGCAGCACGTCTGCCTGGAGCTGACGGTCTGGGACCGGGAGCCGCTCTCCAGCAACGACTTCCTGGGGGGGGTCCGGCTGGGGGTGGGCACTGGTGAGAGCCCCCAGCCCCTCGCGCCCCGGCAGCAGCAGCAGCAGCCTGGCCGGGCTGCGCTGCGGGCACCAGGCTGCTCCAGCATCCCCCCTGCCATCCTCTCCCCAGGCACGAGCAACGGGCAGGCCGTGGACTGGATGGACTCGACGGGCGAGGAGCTGAACCTGTGGCAGAAGATGTGCCAGTACCCGGGCTCCTGGGCAGAGGGGACGCTCCCGCTGCGCTCCACCATGGCCAGGCTGGGGCCGTAGGCTGTGGCACCAGGACTGGCACCGGGCTCCTGGGCAGAGGGGATGCTCCACCATGGCCAGGCTGGGGCCGTAGGCTGTGGCACCAGGACTGGCACTGCTCTTGGGAGCCACGCTCGCTGCACAGCCTGGCAAGGCAGCCAAACGGGGGTTGGGTTTATTTTTCTTACACTTTAATAAACATGACAGTCTCTAAACAGGCTTGGGCAGAAAGTCTTCTTGGCCTAGCTTCATTTAAAGGGTTTTCCTCTTGTCACAAGCTGAACTGCAGTCCTTGTGGACCCTCCCTTCTTCTCCCCCGGGCAAAATGCTTTTAAATGTCATTGTGTTTTTATTTCTTCCCATTCTTTTTCCTACCACCCCGTTCCAGAGTCTGCTGTGTCCTTGTCCTCTCCACCCGTTCCCCATACACAGCCCAGCCCCAGCTGCAGCACTGGGTGGAGGGAACTGTGTGGGGTCAGCCTGGGGGGTCTGGGGTTTGTGGTCTGCAGGAAACATTTGTTTCCCAGGCCTCTCAGTGACACATGTGCCAGCCCTGGCTTTTTATTACAAATCTGTTTATTTCAACTTCATGTTCTACTGCCAAAGCAGTTCCCAGAGAGGGCTCCCCGTGGGCGGTGGGAGCGGGAGTGAGCGGCAGGGGAGATGCAAGCCCTCTGGGGTGGACTGCACGCTGCCTGGCTGCTGTGGGCTCTGCTGGGCGTGGGGCCATTGGATTTTCATCGGGGCTTTCAGAGTGGGAGGCAGCGGGTCCGGGCTGTGCCCAGGGTGAGCCGTGGGGAGGCTGGAGCTGCTGTCACACTGCTGCCCTGCCTCTCTCCAGCTCCCCCCTGCCCTGGGGTTTGAGCAGGGGCACTCCAGTGTCTCCCACCAGGGTCCTGGCTGGGCTGAGCCATGCCCCAGCTGCAAACAGCTGCTGGCTCTGGGCAGGGGGACACAGCCCCTGCTCACCTCTGTGTGCCAGAGCAGCCAGGGAGGGGCTCCCCTTCCCCGGGGCTCCCTGGCACGCTGCTCCTCCTCTGCAGTGGGCGACTAGGAAAGCAGGAAGGGAGGTGTCCGTCCCCGGCGGGCAGGGCGGGGGTCACTCGCAGGGGTCCCCGCTCTGTGCCCGCCGCGCCGCCTCCCGCTCGCTCAGCAGGTACGTGTCGATGAAGACGAAGAGCTCGTCGGGGCTGACCGGGGCGATGTAGCGCTCGCGGTCCGTGCCCGCCTTGTCCAGCAGCACCGCGTTGAAGTGCGAGCGTGTGAGGTGCAGGAAGCGCCTGCAGGTGCGAGGGGGCGGCTGCTCAGGGCTTGCACCCAGGGCTGAGCCTGCCCCTCCTGCAGCCATGCTCAGGGCCTGCTGGGGTGGGGGCTCCCCCCTCTTCCTCGGGGCTGTGAGCTCTGCGAAGCTCTGGTGACGCTGCATTCAGCCTTGAGGGGTCCCCGCACTGCAGGACCCCCTCGAGGGCAGCAGAAAGGGGCTGCTCATGAACCAACCCAGCTGCCTCCTCATGCTTCGCCATTGCTGGAGGCATTCCCGTTCCCTGCCCCCTTGAACAGCCCCTACCTGAGCTCGTCGATGATGCCGAGGGCCAGCCGGTGCTCCCGGATGCGCCCCACCTGGTGCGGGGGCTGCCCCAGCAGCTCCACGGTGCTGAGGTGCCGCAGGTCCAGCCCGCAGGCCGCTTGCTGCGGAGCAGGGCCGGTGAGCGGCTGCGGGCTGCGCGGCTGGGGAGGGACGGAGGGGCGGCACGGGGCCCTGCTCACCTGCAGCATGGACATCTGCAGCTTGTAGTAGCGGTCCGAGGGGTCGGGCGCCGAGATGACCAAGAGGCGGCGTTTGTCCTGGAACTGATCCAGCAGGCTGGCGGCCGAGCTCACGTCCGTGTTGATCTGCATGGCTGGGGCACGACACAAGCGCGTGGGGAGGTGGCACCGTGCCCCCCGCCGCCGCCCTGACCCACCGGGCAGCACCCCCCGAGGCTCTGGGCATGGCCACGGGCAAACCCTGCCGCGGCCGCCCCACTTACGTGCACAAAGGGGCTGGGAGCCCGTCCACTGCTGGCTGGACTGGCAGACGCGCAGGGAGGTGCCCTGGCGCTCGTAGCCGCCGTCGCACAGGTACTCGCAGGTGGCTCCGTAGTTGTTGCCGTCGGAGGTGCAGGAGATGTAGCCGTTCTGCGGGGGCTTCAGGACGGGGCAGCGCCTCACTGCGGAGGGGAAGCCGTGTGAGGGCACGGTGGTGGTGCCCGGCAGGAGCCGTGCCCGGCAGGAGCCGTGCCCGCCCGCGCCGGGGCGGCAGCCAGAGGCTGGGGCTCACCGTGGACGCGGATGCTGAACTTGCAGCTGGCGCGGTTGTAAGCCTGGTCGTGGGCCGTGTAGCGGATCACATGCTCTCCCTCGGGGAATTCGGAGCCGGGCTCCGGGCCCCGCAGCATCACCCTGAGCCCGCAGACGGGTTTCTCCATCAGCGCCCCGGCAGCGGCCCCCGGCCCGGGCTCAGCGCCCGCAGCGCCTCTGCCCTCACCTCTTGATGACACCGTCGGCAGAGTCCCTGACGCGGGGAGGGTCCCAGTAGACGGTGGCAGTCAGCTTGCCTGGCTCGGCTATGCGCTCCCGGGAGTCCGGACAGCGGATCTTGGGCGGCTCCAGGTCTGCCCGGAGAGGAGAGGGATTCACGGAACCTCTGGGTGCCTCGGCTGAGCTACGAGAGGCTGCTGAAGCACCCCAGGCACCTCGGAGCCCCCGGACCCGCTGCAAAGGCAGCGCTGAGTGCCCCAGCGCCGGGCTGGTGCCCGTGCTCAGGGCGGTGGCACTGCGGGGAGCAGCAGGGACCGGGGTCCCAAGGGAGGGAGGCCCAGGAAATGTCGGGGTGGGCTGTGGGGTGACCCTGCAGACCCCCCAGCACGGGTGACGATCCCCTGCGTGCCCCAGCAGCGTGGGGTCAGAATTTACCTACACAGAGCGGCTCGCTCCCGCTCCAGTGGCCGTCCTCCATGCAGACGCGGCTGCGGTCGCCCTCCAGCTGGTAGCCGGGCAGGCAGGTGTAGTCACAGCGGGAATCCATCTGCACGCCCGCCGAGCACGCGTAGGAGCCCCGCAACACCGCCGGCAGCACGTGGCACCGGATTTCTGGGGTGGAGAGAGCGCAGAGGGGAGGGCAGCGGCTGCGGGCGGGCACAGCAGCCAGCCTGGAGCCCGTGCGGGTGCTGGCAGCGCGGGGGCCGGGCACACTCACGTCGGCAGTACGCCATCCCCGACCAGTGGCGGCTGGGCAGGCACCGGACGGCGCTGGGACCCACCAGGCGGTAGCCGCGGGCGCAGCTCAGCTCGCAGCGGGTGCCCAGGCTGCTGCGGTACGAGCCGCCCCGGGGAGAGTAGCAAGTGGCCTCTCCGCGGTGGATGCTGAGCGTGGCGCACCACTGGGGCACTGCGGGACAGCGGGGAGGTGGCGGAGGAGTCTGCCGTGCCTCAGTTTCCCCACGAGGACACAAGGGATGGGTGGGGTGCTGTTACCTCGACGGTAATCCAGGGCAGGCTCGGGGGGCGGCTCTTCTGCGTACACCTCGTTGGTGTGACTCTCCAGGTAGTAGCCAGACCCTGGGAGGAGGGAAGAGGCGAGCGGGCTGCAGGGCAGCTCATGGCTGCAAAACATCCCGCAGCTGCCAACGAGCAATCCCAGCCCGGGCAGCCCCCGTCCTTGGGGCTGCTGTCAAGGGTTAAACTGGGCAGACGGGAGCCCAGCCCCGGGGGCACGGAGTGCGCTGGCACCAGCGCAGACTAAACAGCGGCAGCGGCAGCCGCGGTTGTGGCAGGAAACGGGCGCTGGCGCGGAGGGGGCTGGCACCGACCCCCAGCTTCGTGCTGCTTCCACCGGCTCCCATGGCACCGCCACTGCCACGGGGCATCCCCAGGGAAGGAAGAGAGCTGCCCTTGCCTGCCCTTTCCAGCCCGTCCCCTCAGCAAGGCAGGGATGGCGAGCACGCTGCCCGGCCGGGGGCTGGCGGGGTGCAGCCCCTTGCCCGTGCTCCAGGGAAGGATGGAGCTGCCGGAGGTGCTGGCCCCTCGCCACCCGTGCTGGGCCTCGCAGATGGGGTGAGGACAGCCCTGAGCCATCCTTGCGGGCCGCACCGTGCCTTCACGGGCGAGTCTCGCCGGTGGGGAGGGGGCCGCGCAGGGGGAGAGGCTGCCGTCCCCCCCGCGGCCCCTCGGCGCCTCGGCCGGCCGCGGCATTCCCCAGCTCTGAGCTCACGTTTCCGCCGCGTTTCCGCCGGCCCCCGCCGGCGCTGCCCCCTCCTCGCCGCCCGGCCGGGATGCTCGGCCCGGGGCACCGGGAAGGCGGCAGCCCCGGCGCACCCAGCTTCCCCTTGTCCCGGGTTTGGGAAGGGGATATCCGCCGCGGCCATGCCCAGCAGAAGCCCCGCCGTCACGGGGAGGAAACTCCATGACGAATCTTTCCACAGGGAACTTTAGGAGCAAGCCCGCCCGGTTCCACAGCGCGTTCATGCAGCTGCGGCTCACGCTGGATAACCCGGGGGGCAGAGGAGCAGGGACGGCACCGTGGGGGCGGCCGTGACCTGGGGAACGAAGCTTTTCCTGGGGGGCTGCCAAGACCCCGCCGGGGCTCTGGGGACAGAGGGCAGTGTCCCCGCAGGCAGATGTGCCATTTCATGGTGATGTTTCCTTCCACTGCCAGCGCTCCTCTTTCTTCTCACCTGGGGGCAGCTCGGCCCCGCTGCAGTGGGCAGGAGCATCCCCAGCTGTGCTGGCAGCATGGCCAGGGGACGGGAAGGGAGCAGGGACGGCGGAAACCACCCCAAACAATGCCCTGGGCTGTCGGGACTGCGAACATGTGCGGCCGGTGGCCCCGCGGGAGCAGCGAGCGGCGCTCCCGCAGGCGGGGGTGTGTGAGGAGGAGGAGGAGGACAGGCCGGTTTTCTGCCCCTCCCTGGGTGCCTGCCAGCATCCCCTGCGTTCCTCCCTGCACCTCAGCCCCCAGGCACCCCCTTCCTCAGGCGCTGATGCTCTCCGGCACCGCTGTTCCCTCCATCCCTGCCCACCCCGAGCCCCCAGCCGCGCCGCGCAGGCTGCCAGCCCCGGGCGCCCGCTGTGCCCCGCAGCCGCACTCACCTTCGTGCCACGTGGATGACGCCAGCCTGGCGAGGAGCAGCAGCAGCAGCACGGGGACTGTCCCCAGCGCCATCGCGGGCCCCACCTGCCGCGCTGGGGCCGGCAGCGGCCGCGAGGATGGAGAGGATGGAGCGGATGGAGCGGGGCTGCAGGCGGGATCACGGCCCCCGCTGTCGCCTTGTCGCTGCTCAGATGTCTGTCCCTCCTGCCTGGCCGCTCTGCTTGTGCTGAGCAAAGTTACTTTCCCCCTTGGCCGCCCATCCCAAACATTCAAAAGCCGTGAGTCAGGCCCAAAATGATGAATTGTAAAAAAAAAAAAGTAAATCCCAGGATAGCCCGTTTTCCGACGCGCCTCCTGCTTCTCCGGGGCTTTAAAAGGTTGTAAGAGGCTTTCTTGTGCAAGCAGGAGAGCCAGGAGCCTGTTTGGACACAGGAGAGAGCCAAACCGAGCCTGTGCCAGCCCTGACGGGCTCCGGCGGCGGGGGCCTGCAGGGGCGAGCACGAAACCGCAGGAGCCGGGTCCGCTTTCCCCCTCCTGCGGCAGGGAGGGAGGGAGCGAGCCCGCTGCAGACGGAAGGCTCCGAGCCCGCGGCCGAGAAAAGCGCTTGCAGCCGGGTCTGTGCGCTGCCGAGCCCGGCCCGCCAGCACCGGGAGCGCGGAGCCTCTGCCGGGGCCGGGCAGGGGCAGGAGAGCCGGGCAGGGGCAGGAGAGCCGGGCAGGGGCTGGAGAAGCCGAGCAGGGGCAGGAGAAGCGGGGCAGGGGCAGGAGAAGCCGGGCAGGGGCTGCAGAGGCCGGCAGGGGCAGGAGAAGCGGGGCAGGGGCAGGAGAAGCCGGGCAGGGGCTGCAGAGGCCGGCAGGGGCAGGAGAAGCCGGGCAGGGGCTGGAGAAACGGGGCAGGGGCAGGAGAGCCGGGCAGGGGCTGGAGAAGCGGGGCAGGGGCTGCAGAGGCCGGCAGGGGCTGCCTCGGACAGGTAGGAGCACTCGCGTGGGACTGCGGGGGACACAATGCGCTAATTATGTGGAGCTAATTAATGACACGCTGTCCCGGGCAGGAGAGGGCTCCGGGAGGGGCTGCTGCTGCCGGTGTGGGGAGCCCGCAGCCCGGGGACAGCCCCGGGACAGCCCGGGACAGCCCGGGAGCGCTCAGCCCGCGGAGGGCAACAAGGAGGGCTGCTGCCGTGCTGGCAGTGCCATGTGCCGGGGCACGGGTGGCTGTCCCCCTGGACACCGGGACAGGGCTGGGCAGGGCTGGAGCAGGAGAGCAGGGACTGGCTCTGGCTGGCACCGGCAGGGAGGTGGCACGGGACAGGCAGGGGGTGGCACTGGGGAGGCCGGGAATGGTGGCATGGTCGGGCAAGGTGGCACAGGGTGGCACGGGGACGGCGGGAGCTGGCAGCGGGTGGCGCCAAGCAGGTAGGAGGTGGCGTGAGGCAAGCGGGGGGTGACATCGGCAGGCGGTGGCACGGGGGAGGCAGTGGGTGGCACTGGAGAGAGGGTGGCACGGGCCAAGCAGGGAGCGGCACCGGACAGGAGGTGGCAGGGACAGGTACGGGGTGGCACGGGATAGGCAGCAGATGACACCGGACAGGTCGTGACAGGGGACAGGCAGGAGGCGACACCAGACAAGGGGGTGTCTCAGGACAGGGGGTGGCTCGGGACAGGGGTGTCCCAGGACAGGGGACAGGGGATGTTACAGGACAGGGGTGGCAGGGGACAGGGGTGTCCCTGACAGGGGGTGGTCCAGGACAGGGGTGTCACAGGACAGGGTGTGACAGGGGACAGGGTGTGACAGGGGACAGGGGGTGACAGGGGACAGGGATATCCCAGGACAGGTGTGTCCCAGGACAGGTGTGTCACAGGACAGGGGTGACAGAGGACAGGGGTGTCCCAGGACAGGGGTGACAGGGGACAGGGGACAGGGGTGTCCCTGATAGGGTGTGTCACAGGACAGGGATGTCCCGGAACAGGGGTGACAGGGTGTCCCAGGACAGGGGTGTCCCGGAACAGGGGTGACAGGGTGTCCCAGGACAGGGGTGTCCCAGGACAGGGGGTGACAGGGGGTGACCGTGGCGCCCCCTGCGGGAGGACGGGGGAAGAGCCCGGCCCTGGCTGGCGCGCTCGGCCATTTCCGTGAGCACTCGCTCATCTCCGGCGGGGGCGGTCCCGGCCCGCGGGGGCGTGTCCCGGCCCGCCCGCCCCGCCCGCTGTCGGCCATGGCGTCCGCGTCGCGGCGGCTGCAGACGAAGCCGGTGATCACCTGCCTCAAGAGCGTCCTGCTCACCTACACCTTCGTCTTCTGGGTGAGCGCCCGCCCGCCCTGTGCCCCGCCGCGCTCGGGGCCGCGCCGCCCTGCCGCGGTGGGCGCGAGCCAGCGCGGCTTTCCGCTCTCCCCGCCAGGTGTCGGGCATTGTGCTGCTGGCCGTGGGCATCTGGGGCAGGGTGAGCCTGGCCGTCTACTTCTCCCTGCTGGACGAGAAAGCCACCAATGTGCCCTTCGTGCTGGTGGGCGCCGGCGCCGTCGTGGTGCTGCTGGGCACCTTCGGCTGCTTCGCCACCTGCCGCGGCAGCACCTGGATGCTCAAGCTGGTGGGTGGCCTGGGACGGGGCAGGATGGAGCTCTGTCCTGTCCTGACCCATCCCGACCCGTCCTGACCCATCCCGACACATCCCAGCCTATCCCTGCCTGCTCCCATCCCTACCCTGCCCGTCCCATCCTGCCCTACCCCATCCTGTCCCCCTCCACTCTCCCCTCCTGTCCCATCCCATCCCGTCCCACCCCATCCCATCCATCCCCTCCCCTCCCATCCCATCCTTTCTGCCCGCAGTATGCCATGCTCCTGTCCCTCATCTTCCTCATCGTCCTGGTGGCTGCCATCGTGGGGTTCGTCTTCAGGCACGAGGTGAGTCTGAGTGCCAGTGCCATCTCCCAGGGCTGCAGAGTGACTTTGAGCTGCTTTCACCCCAGTGCAGTCGCAGATGTCACTGAGGGACACAGGGGCTGCATGGGAACAGTTTGGCAAGGATGGGGTTAGTGTGGTTTGCTTGGTTCAGCAAAGATAGGGTTAAACCAGCACAAGGAGCAGCTTGGTCCCTGTGAGGACCCAGGAGGAGCAGCCTGGGTGCAGGGTCAGCCCAGCACAGCACGTTGTCCCTCTGTCAGAACAGGCAGAGTAGCCCTGGACTGTAATTTCTGGCTTTGGTGTACCTTCTGCAATAATGTCAGTAATTAAAGCTCCTGGGAGGGTTTCTGTGCCTGCCTGGGAGGGAGCTGGCACAGTGCACGTCCTTGTTATTACAGACAGCATCCCTGCTGCCACAGTGCACCCAGCCTGCCCTTTAATGCAGCCTCTAATTGCCTGCTCCTGGGAAATGCCTGCTGGCCAGGCCGGGGTCACTGCTGCCATCCCCGAGCCAGGACTGACACAAGCTGGGGTCCTGAGGCTGCAGGGACAGCCCTGACACCCCTCTTACAGATAAAGACAAGCTTTGAGAGCAACCTGGAGCTGGCCTTGAAGGACTACAACGTGACTGCAGATCCACACAGCGAGGCCGTGGACACCATCCAGAGAACGGTGAGAGCCCGGGGGAATGGGGCAGAACCAGGGGGGAATGGGGGAGAGCCCCGGGGGGAATGGGGGGGAACCCCAAGGGAATGAGGGAGAACCCAGGGGGGAATGGGGGAAAACCCTGGAGGGAATAGGGGAGAACCCAGGAGGGAAAACCCTGGTGGGAATGGGGGAGAGCCCTGGAGGGAATGGGGGAAAACCCTGGGGGGAATGAGGGAGAGCCCTGGTGGGAATGGGGGAGAGCCCAGGAGGGAAAACCCCGGGGGGAATGGGGGAGAAACCCTGGGGGAATGGGGGAGAGCCCTGGGCTGCCAGCAGGTGGGAATGCTGCCCTGGCCCAGCATGTCCCCTGTGACCCCTGTGGCACTGGCATCCCCTCACAGGCTTTGGAGTTTGGCAGATGCTGGGTGAGATGAGGGTGGGGGAGCCACGGCACTGCTGGTGGGAGCAGGGCTCAGTTCCCCGGGCTGACCAGGCTCCCCACTGTGCTTCCCCCTCCAGCTGCACTGCTGCGGGGTGCAGAACTACTCTGACTGGGAGAGGACTGAGTACTTCAGCCAGAGGGGCATCCCTGCCAGCTGCTGCAAGAGCCAGAACGACTGCTCCGAGCAAGACCTGAAAGACCCAAACAAGGCCAAGCTGAAAGTGTTCGTGGATGTAGGTTAAGCTCGGAAAAATCTGCCTGCTGGTCCAGGAGGTGGGAAGGGCAGGGATGGGTGTGTGGAGGAGGGCTGGTCTGTCCCTGGCAGGCTGGAAAGGAGAGCTGCCCTGTCGATGCTGGTGTTCAGTGGCCCAGGGACTCCCCTGGAGTGGGTAAGGCAGTGCAATCCTCCCTTCTGTCTGAGGCTCCCCCACACCCTCCTTCAAGATGAGGGCCCAGCCAGACCCAAGTCTTTGGGGATGTGTGTTTTGAAGAACAGGTGAGCAAGGAAGTAGCTTCCCAATGAAGTTTGTTTCGGCAGTGCTGACATCTCCCTTGGGTGCAAAGTCCTGACCCGTGGTGAGGGTGTGTGGCCCCATCCCCAGGGATGGCTGGGTGATGCAAGGGTTCCTCTGAGTCACCTGGCTCAGCTGGGAGCAGCCCAAGGGCAGTGCTCCCCTTGATAAGGCATCTGGGCTGGGAGGCTGCAGATGGCTCTGCCCAGGCCTGGCAGGAGGGGCCAGCCAGGACCTGCTGCTGCTGCGCAGGAGCATCTTCCCCTGGAGCTGCCCGTGCTCTGGGGAGGAGCTGGGCTGTACTCCCGGGCTGGAGAGCACTGGGTCCACGTGCTTGCTTTGCTTCCTCTGCAGGGTTGTTTTTTCCTGGTAACGTCAACAATGGAGTCCAAAATGAGCGTTGTGGCCGGAATCTCCTTTGGCATCGCCTGTTTCCAGGTGAGTCTCCCTTGTCTGGCTCGGGAGGAGGGCAGAGTGAAGCCAGCGTGTCTCCAGAGGTGTTTAATTCCAGTGCAAAGTCTGGGGTGTACAAAAGGCACGGTTGGTTTCAGTCAGGGAGGAGCAGCTACTCTGGATTCCCCTTGGGTTGAATCTGCCTGCTGTGCCCCAGCTCTGTTTCCTTAGCCCAGGTTTATCTGGGAAGATCTCCCCTCTGAGACAGCAGACTCCAAGAAAAAACAGAGATGGACAAACTCAGTCTGCTGTTGGCAGGGATCAAATCTGTGCCCTTCCTTTTCCTGCCCACCCACACTGATATCAGGAGGGTGTTTGGCATCGCGCCCGTGTGGTGGGGTCACCGTGAGTGCCAGTGTGGCACCACTTGTGCTGGTGGCTGACCACCCTACCACCCTGATGTCCTCTCTCCCAACATCTCCTTCACTTTGTGGTGCAGGGCACTTCCTGCAGGAGCCACAGCAGCAGCAGCAGCAGCGTGCTGGCCAGCCCCAGTTCCATCCCCAGCCCCATCCCCAGCCCAGCCCATCCCCAGCTCCATCCCCAGCTCCATCCCCAGCCCCATCCCCAGCCCCATCCCCAGCCCCATCCCCAGCCCAGCCCATCCCCATCCCCAGCCCCATCCCCAGCCCAGCCCAGCCCAGCCCCAGCCCCAGCAGCTCCATCCCGGCAGGAAGCGGGAGGCCCCTGCCCCCAGCTGCTGCTGACGCCACGCTGGGGCTTCCCGAGGTGCCGAGGGCTTTCCGAGGGCTGCAGGATGTGCAGCTGGCCCTCCTCCAGCTGCTCTGTGCAAGCTGGCTGGGCTCTGGTGCTGAGCAGCCAGCCCTGACCTCGGAGGGGCTCACACTCTGCCTCCCCTTCACCCAGCAGCCGTGGTGTGAGCGTCACGGTGCTGCTGGCCCGGACTGGGCTGGGGAGCAGGAACCTGCTGAGATACTCAGCTGTATGAGCTTGTCCCTGTGTGCTCTCTGTAGCAGATGGACTGAGCTGGGGAGAGGTGGGAGCCTGCAGCTCGTGGTACTGAGGGCTTTGGGAGAGCCCGAGAGCCGGAGCTGCTCCGCCGTGCCCGCTGCTCGCGCCTGTCCTCCCGGCTGGGCCGGGCCGGGCCGGGCTGGGCTGGGCTGGGCTGGGCCGGGCTGGGCTGGGCTGGGCTGGGCTGGCAGCGGCGGCTGAGCAGTGGCGCCGAGTGCTGGGCTGGGCTGGGCGAGCTGGGCCGGGCTGGGCTGGGCGAGCTGGGCCGGGCCGGGCCGGGCTGGGCTGAGCTGGGCCGGGCCGGGCCGGGCTCACTGAGATGTGGCTGATGCAGGAGCAGGGAGCTGCACACACACTTCCAGCTGCAGCGTTATCTCAGCTGATGGCAGGCTTAGGAATTGTAAGCAGTTCCTAGCATTTATTGGCCCTTCAGCAAGCTTGGCTGGGTCGTGCCTCTGGCAGGGACCCGTTGTGCTGATGTGCCTCTAACTTGGCTTGTGGAGGTCAGAGTTGTGCAGGGTCTGGCCCTGGAGTCTGCACAGGTGCTGGGAGGCTGTGCTGTGATAACAGAGCCTTCCTGATGTGAGAGCAGCAGCCTTGCTTCCCCAGTGTCCTTGCACAGGAGAGGTGCTGCCGTTCTCCCGTGGCTGTGTAATTGGCTGTGACGCTCCTGGTATCTGTGTAATCTCTGCAATTACCATAAAACACTCCATGCTTGGTGAAGCAGCTTGTAACAGGATGGGAGCTGGAGCATCTCTAGTGAGGAGCTTGTTTAGTTGGTGCTGCCAGGATCCTGTGCTTCAGCCACTTTCAGTGGTTCTGAAGCAGGGTGCAGCAGCCCTTGTGGGGTTTGTAAACCCACTGTCCATCCCTGGTTTTCATAAAACCCTGGATCACTTTGTCAGGTTTTCTCCTGAAACACCTCTCCCTGGCTTTGGCTGCCTCTGACACGCAGGGTTTGTTTTCTCTCTTTTTCAGCTGATTGGCATCATTCTGTCCTGCTGCCTGTCCCGGTACATCACCAACAATCAGTATGAGATGGTGTAGCTGGCCCCCAGCGCCCTGTGCCTGTGCCTGGGTATGTCTGCAAGCCTGGTGGGCTGCCTCTGCCCCCCTGGCTGCTGCTGGTCACCCGTGGGGTGGGGGTGCCATGGGGAGGGGGTTAGGGTTAGAGGGCACCTGCAAGAGCACGTCTGCTGTGTCACTTCAGCCTGTGTCATTTTGTCCTGTGTCACTTCAGCCTGTGTACAGATCCACCCTGTCTGCTAACACCCTGCTGTGTGCATTGCAGGGAATGGCTGGGGATGATGCCTCCACCTCCAGCTTGCCTCTGGATGCCACGTCGTGAAATCTTGCTTTGAACTGACTGATCTTCTTCTCAACTAGCTGGTAGAAAGGAGTGCAGCAGCTGTCCTGGTGCACTCAGGGACTTGTCCTGACACTCCTCTGCTGTGCCACCGCCTGGGGTAATAACTGGTGTGGCTGTGGTGGCTGCAGCCCCCAGCTCTTGCCCCGAGTGCCATGCTGTGCTGGGCTGACTGTGCTGGGGGCTCCCGGGTGTCCCAGTGCTCATCTTCAGTGCCTCCACTGGGAAAGAGATGCTTCCCCTTGCCTCGGGCAGCCCCTTGACATCCCCTCACTCTCCAGACACAGTTGTTGAGATGGGGCTGTTAAACCCAGCCCTGCCTGCCTGAAGCCTTGGCTCAGCAAGGTTGTTGCCAAGCTGTCTCCTCCCTCCCCTGGGTTTTATATTCTTTTTTATAGCTGTACTTCTTTGAGGACGGGCTGTAGTGGTTCTTTGTAAGCTGTAGTGAGGGTTGGTGGTGTAGCTCCTGGTGCCTTTACCTTGGTAGGTGTCCTTGCACCGATTCAGCTGTGACTTGATTGTCAGTATTATATGCTGCTTCAACTCATTTTATGTATTGAGTAGAATTCTTTTTGTCCCGAGACACAATAAATATTAAGATATTTTACTCTATGAAACCTCCTTGACTTTTCTTTTCGTGTGCTGGAAATTCCTCTGCTGGAAGAGCAGCAAGTGCCCCCGGGGCTGCTCTGCTCAGTCTGGGCCAGCAGGAGCCCCTGGCCACTGCAGTTTGCATTCCTCCACCGTGCACTGGTGCACTTCTGCTTGCAAATAACTTCTGTAATTGAATTTTCTTCATAGCAGGGCTTGTGTAACAGTGCTGGAGCAGAGGGCCTGGAGCACCCAGCCCAGGAGCGGGGTGGGTAACTTCAGCCCAGTGTGAACATGTGCACCCTTGGCCTGCTGGCTGCTGGCTTGGAGCAAAGGGCAGGGCAGGGCCAGGCCCCAGAAATGGGGATTTAAGCCTTTAAATTCATTTGTTACTGCTCATTTTGGGGCTGTTTTGTCAGCCAGCCTCTGCCTTTGTGAACCTGGTGCTGCAGTGGAGCAGTTGAGCACCCCTCTGCCAAGCCTGGGGGGTTTTTGGGTCTCAGGCACCGAGCTGGCTGGATCTGAGCTGTGTCTGGCTGGGCGTGGGGCTCTGTCCTGCTCCCGGGAAGCAGGCAGGTGTAACCAGGGCAGTGAAGCCAGGGGAGCAGTGGTGGCCCTTTGTCAGCGTCACCCCTCTGGCCAAAGCTGCCTGGGTGCTGGCTGAGCTGCCCCAGCCCGGCAGTGACCTGGTACGGGCCAGCCTGGCTGCTGAGGAAGGGACCTGCAGGGAAACGCCCCAAAGCTCGTGTTGCATTCAGCCCAGTGAGTAAATGAGCCTGTTGCCAGCTCCTGGCTGGGTGGTGAGGCACCGTGTGTCACAGCAGGGCAGCTGGGCTGGGGAGTGCCCAAGGGCACTGCAGGGATGGATGGGGACAGGGCAGGGGCACCTGGGGGGCAGCAGTGGATTTGGATAAACCCACTGTGAAAGCCTGCACAGAGGGAAGGACTCTGCTCTGTGCCCCTGCAGGCAGATTCCTGCCTGGGCCACCCACAGGAGGTGGTGCCAGGTGGATGGGATGGTTCTGGCAGAGGCTGGCACAGGGAGCCCGGAGGTTTCCAAGCAGCTGCAGGAATATCAGCATGGGTTGTGGAGGCTTGTGCAAGCCTGCTCATCCCCACAGGCAGCAAAGCACTGCAGCCATCAGAGGGGGTGGATCTCACCTGGTTAAACAGCACTGATGGAAACACCTCACTTTAATTTGGAGAGATGTGCTGGGGGAGGTGCCAGGCAGACCTGGGACACCAGTGTCCTGGCAAAGGCGTTGTGTGCACCTTGGTCACCTGCCTGGACACTGAGCAGGGACAGGAGCATTGCTGCCTGGCCCCAGGGCTGGGTTCTTGCAGCAGCTGTGGCTGGGTGGGTGTCACACATCCCCCTGCTGTTTGCACCTCCCCTCTCTGTGGGATAAATGTCCCAAGGGGCTTGTCAGGAAGGCTGGTGTCCCCCAGGCTGGCTGGTGTCCCTTGGGATGCCATGGGGGAGCTCCCAGTGTTTTAACCACTCTGTCAGTGCAGCCATGAACAGGGAGAAGGGAGCTGCCCTGAGAACGTGCTCCCATCCCCGTGGGAGCTGCAGGGATGTGAGGGGGGCTGGCAGCCCTGGGGGTGCCACACCTGGCACCTGTCTGTGTTCCCTGCTCTGTGTGCACATTCCAGCCATGGCAGCGTGCCCCCCTGGTGACACTGAGGGCTTTGCCTGGTGCCACCTGCAGGGTGTCAGAGCTGCTCAGCAGCAGGTTCACTCCCTGGGATGGAGCCCGGGACCTGGCTTTGGCATGAGCCCAAGGGCCTGGCAGCAGGGTGCCCAGGGGGTTTTGGTGTGAGCCTTCAGCCCTGAGGCAGGCAGTGCTCAGGACTTCCCTCCTGCAGCTCAGGCTTTGCCCGTTTGTTGGTGACAGGGCCGGGGACAGCTGGGGCCCTCCACAGGAGGGACTCCCTGTGACTTTGGCTGCCCGGTTCCTCGGGGAGCTCCTTGTGCCAGCTCCCTGTGCCCGTGCTGCCACAGCTGCGGAGGGGATGGTGGCACCCTGAGCTGCCAGCAACCCCTGCAGCACCCAGGGCAGGCTGGGACAGGTGGCCAGGACACGCTGAGCAGCAGCAGGAGCCAGCGGGGCCCTCCACATGCCACCCCCGAGTCACGGGCGCTCCTGGAGTTAGATCTAGCCACGCAGCGAGATCACCCATGAAGCACCAGACTGGGACCGAAGCACGTTCCGTTCTCTTTGCAATCGCTCGTACGCGGCGTTTATTGCTCGCCCCTGCAGCTCAGCTCCTGCGCACCGCCGGGGGCCCGCAGGGGCGGGTGGCACCGGGAGGGGCGGGTGGCACCGGGAGGTGAGACCGGGAGGTGCCGCGGCCGGCGGCGGGGCAGACCGGCGGCTGGCAGTGCCCGCTGGCCGCGCTGCCCGTGTGCCAGCCGGCTCCTGGCAGCAGGCACGGCTACACCCTGCCCAGCATCCGCGCGATCCACCAGTTGCAGGGCATGATGACGCGGCAGATGACCCTGCCGCCCTGGTAGCAGTAGGGGTACGGGTGGTAGCCCAGCAGCGGCTCGCACACCCGCCGGCAGTAGCGGTGGGCACGGCGGCACTGGGCACAGCAGTAGCCTCGCTCGTCCCACAGAGGGTGGAACTCCAGCCCGTTCTCCGACTGCCGGGAGGAGACAAAGCCAGGGCACTGACGGGCAGTGTGGCTGGGGCACCGGGAGCGGGCACAGCACAGCCTGGGAGGGCACCCTGGGCACCCAGGAGTGGAGCAGGGCTGCCAGGGGCACGGAGACACCCCAAGGGCGTGCACAGGGCAGCCCAAGGAGCACAGCCGGGCATCCCAAGGAGCACAGCTGGGCATCCCACGGAGCACAGCCGGGCATCCCAAGGAGCACAGCTGGGGCAGCCCAAGGAGCACACTGGGGCAGCCCAAGGAGCACAGCTGGGCATCCCTGACCATGGCCAAGACAGCCCAGGATGGTGGCCAGGGCAGCCCAGGGTGGAATTCCTGCACTCATGAAGCCCATGGTGGGGTTCCCTCACTCACTCATGCAGCCCATGGTGGGTTCCCTCACTCCTGAAGCCTGTGGTGGGTTCCCTCACTCACTCAGGACACCCCGGGCTGGGTTCCCCCACTCAGGGCAGCCCATGGTGGGCTCCCTCACTCACTCACACACCCCAGGCTGGGTTCCCTCACTCACTCAGGACACCCCGGGCTGGGTTCCCTCACTCACTCACACACCCTGGGCTGGGTTCCCTCACTCCTGAAGCCTGTGGTGGGTTCCCTCACTCACTCACACACCCCAGGCTGGGTTCCCTCACTCGGGTGGGGCAGGGCAGCCCATGGTGGGCTCCCTCACTCACATAGTCGTTGACGGGCAGCTCCTCCTCGGTGAGCTGCCGTGCCCGGCGCCTGGGCCCCGCCTGTGTGTCCTGCTGCTGCTCCTGTTCACTCCCCCCCTCCAGCCAGCTCTGGCTGTCCACCACCAGCTCAGGGTCTTCTTCTTCTGCCCCTTCAAGGTTGGCCAGCTCAGGAGCTGCAGGGAGAGTCCAAATGCTGCTGTCAATAACCACGGAACAGGGGGACAAATGCAGCAGCAAGAATTAACGTCTCTACCAGAATTCGGTGCTGAGGCACACGAAAAGCCCACTGCAAACCAGTGCTCCATGGCCACCTGCTCTCAGCCAGCCTGGGCCAGGGCTGAGGGAGATGATGGCTCATTCCATGCCCATGGCTGGGTGCTGTTGGGGCTGCAAGGGGCTGTGGGTGTGCAGAAGCACGTCCTCCTGGTGGGCTCTGCTGCTGGGGGCTGGATTTGTAGAGCCCCATCAGAGGAACGTGACCTGGGGCAGATCACGCCCAGCTTCAGCTCTCTTAGCTTAGGAAAGAACCAGAGCAGCAATAATTTCCTTTGCTAGGAAGGTGCCAGACAGCCTTGGGACACTGCTGTCCTGGCAAAAGCCTTGCATGCACCTTGGTGACCCAGCTGGACTCACGGACCCAGGACGCTGCTGCAGGAGGGCCTGACAGCAGGGACAAGGAGGCAGAAAGGGGACAGCAGTGGGGACAGCAGCCTCCCTCTGCAGCAGGGAGCTGGGTGCCCCGCTGCCCTCCAGAGCACAGGGAGCTGGCCTGTGCCTGTGAGCGATGCCATGTGCCTCTGTGGCTGCAGAGCACAGGGAGCTGGCCTGTGCCTGTGTGCGATGCCATGTACCTCTGTGGCTGCAGAGCACAGGGAGCTGGCCCAGCAGGGGTTTTTAAACTGGCTCATTCGGCTGGAAGTGGGTTAGAGAGAGCGAGTAATTACACCAGCACATCTCAGAGGCCACAACCTCTGCGAGGGCTCTGTGGTGAGCAGCTGGAGGTGGCAACCCCGCCGTGTGATTTAGATGCAGATGTCTGCTCACACTCTGATGTTCATGTGGTGACGAGAATTCAGGCGTCCCAGTTTCCAGCAGCGCTGCTTTCTTTGCAGGTACAAGGGATTATATTTTTTTCCCCCTTGTTATGAGGAGGGTGGCCACTCTGCAAAGTGCAGGGCGGTGGGGAGCTGGCAGAAACAAGTGCTTTGTAGAGAGAATCTTCAGCCCCTGCTATTAGCTTGGCCATGATCTCCTGTGGTCACAGGTGCTCGTGACTGAGATGTACAAGGAGGCTGTGAAAGTGTGTTCCCACCATGTCACACAGGGGGACGTGGCAGGGGCACAGGTGTGTGGCAGGGCTGTCCCCAGTCAGAGGAGAGGAGATGGCTCCTTGTACCTGCTATTGGCGTGGGGTGGATCCAGAAGATGGTCACATTTTTGCAGATGTCAAAAATTTTGGAGGTCTTCAGGAATTCCTTGTTCTGAATGGGCTTTTCCCCAGGCACCCAGACCACAGACTGCTCAAAGTAGGTGGTGGTGATTTCTTGTCCCTGGAAGAAGAGCAAGGCATTACTCTGGTGTGGTGACACACCCTGCTCCCAGCACTGGCTGCTTCTCCTCCCCGTGGCTCAGAGGCACCTCTGCCTCCCAGAGAGCAGCTGGACTTCACCTGCCTTGGCCCTGGGGCTCACGGGATGCACACACAACACCCTGACAGCCCTCATCACCCTGCTCTCCTCTCTCAGTTCATCACCCAAGACCCTTTTCCTGCACAGTCCCCACTGTCTGGAAGAGCCTTCTGGAACCCCCTTAGTCATTCAAAACACAGCATTAAAACACCTCTGCTCTACTTTGCTCCCAGGATTTAATTCCTCTCTCCTTCTGCTACTGATTTTTTGATCGAACACTTTAATTTACTCCTCACAGAAATTCTTTGCACGGCTGTGTTCTGTAATTTATACCACATGTCTCTGCCGTTGCATTAGGCCATGGTGTGTTTTGGCAGGCACTTAGGGAGGGAGATATATAAAGATTATGGGATGGGTCTGCGCTGAGCTCTCTGCCAAGGCAACACTGTCTGTGTTGGTGGTGGTAGCCCATAGAGCAAGCTGGCAAAAAGCCTTTTTCTCTCCAGAAGGCATCTAGGGCTGTATATCTCTTTTATAGAGTTTTTCCTTACGGCTTTGGGAAGTCATAGGAAGGAGCCAACACAGCCTGACCCAGACTGGGTCATTTTTGGAGTCTGTGGTGGAAGCTGCAGGGTCAGGGAGGTGCTGCCTGCAGGACCTGGCAGCGTGCAGGCTCCAAGAAGACATGACTGGAGCTTAAATCTACATTTATCTCACTGGGTTTTACATTTCAGCTCTCTACCCGGGGCAATGTTCTGCTAAAGCCTGGGAAGTTATATCCCTTTTACGACGGTAGCTGAAAAGATCTATTAGCTTCTTAGGGCATAATCAAAGAATCGGTGTCTGGGAATTTGGGTCATGATTCAGGGAAGTGTTTCTGCCCACGCTTCATTTCAAACACGTGTCCTGCTGGCTTTTTATCTGCAGCAGCTTCCCTAGGGGGGACTCAATCTGCTAACACCCGTCCTCTTGCAAATGGGGAGGCAGGAAGGCTGTGCCACCACCAGGGACGGGGACAAGGGACAACTGCTGTCAGGGACTGAGCTGTCACCCCAGGCCACACTGCCAGGGAGGGGTTAAATCTGGAGCCCACACTTTTCTCCATGCAGCATGCAAGGGTGAGGCTCCTTGCAGCAGGATGCAGGAAGCAATCAGGCACATCAGTGGGATGAAGGTCCATGCAGGACAAGGAAGTGGCCCCAGCCTGGGGCTTCCCACCTCTCAGCTCTGCATGCCAAGAGTTTTCTCAATTTGCATTTCTTAAGTGTGGCCGCTCTTTTAAACCCCTTATTCCTGCCTCATTTTCATTGAAAACACGAGGCTCAAATATTGGAGAAAACAATTTGATTGACTTTTTGGTGCCTGCTAATCCTGAGCTGCCTTACGACCTTTCGACTACAACAGGATTATTGTTCTTGATCTCTGCTATTGTGCTGAGAGGCTTTTGTCTGTTGCTTTCTAATCCCGTCTCTTTTCACTTGTTTTCATAAGCAATCCTCTGAAATAAGATCAGTTTATGAAGCGATCACAACTCATTATTTCTTTATTGCACATCTCTGGGAAGGCTGGAGCAGATGGGAGGAATGGCAGCCCCTCTGCCAGGGAGAGGAGCAGCTTTCACAGGGCAGAGGGGCTGCCAGAACCCTGCTCTGTTCACCTACCTCAAGCTCAGGGATCTTGGCCTCTGTCGTCTCAGGCAGGACTTTAGTCTGAGTTTTGATGAAACATTTTTGAAGTCCCACAAAGAAGATGCCGGTTATTCCCTACAGGATCAAAGCAAACACCCAAAAAGCAGTCAGGGCAAAGAGTAGGATGAATAACGCATGGAGGCAGGGTACAGCTGGAGGAGGAAGGTTTACTCATATTTTTCCTGTTGCTATTTTTGTGCCAGTTCCGTTCAGCAGCGGTGCTAAGATGCACTAACAGGTTCTCATAAGGGATATTGCATTTTATGGTGTGGGAGAACTGGGATTTTTACAAATATTTTAAGGCAGGTAGTCATAAAATTTTACTCTGCTCCTCTTCTCCTGATAACTATCATGAGCTCTCATTATAATAAATAAAAATATGCAGAACAGCATCTGACCGTTATGGTTACATGAACGTTCAGCCCCCAGTTCCTGCTAGGTTATTAGCTCAAAATTTTGCCATATGTCACTGCACAGGGTATTTCCCTACAAATTTTAATTAGGTTTCATAGAGAGCCTTCTTCAGTGTCATGAGGTTTTAATGCTCTTCAGGCAGACAAATGCACTGGGCTCAGATAGACTGATGATCATTGCATTCCTTTGCAAGGGTAAATCCAATAACTAGCTCTGGCTTCTGAGATGTATTTCACTGGAGCTGAAGCACACCACTATGAAATACTGGTGGAAGCTTATGTAGGTAGCACATCTCCTTTCCTCTGAGAGCATCCCCAGCGTGGCTGGGTCTTGCTCTCCCTGATGCAGGAATAAATAGTCCTGGACTCACTCCAGGGACTCCACAGCGTCCTGCAGGATCCCATCAGTCCTGCTGCAGGACTGCAGGCTCTCAGGGACAAGCTGCCACACTCACGTTTTTGAAGTCATGGATCTCCAGGATCTCCTCACTGCCATTCCCGCTGCTGAAGGTCTCTGTCCTGGCCAGTGGGTCAATCTCCATCACAATCTTCTTCCTCTCACCGTTGCTGAAGAACGTGTGCTCCATGTCATAGACCTGGGAGGCCAAAGTCACACGGGGTCAGCTCAGCTCCCCGTGGTTTCACAGGCTGTCCGGTGGGCAGACAGGCTGTGCTGGGTGTGTGACCAACGCTGCTGGGACCCTGCCGTGGCTCTGGCTGCTCCCTCACAGCCCAGCTCTGAGCAGAATCACCAGGGCAGGACCAGGGGAGGCAGCTCCCAGGCAGGAGCCTGGGCTGGCAGAGAGGGCAGGCTGCAGCCAGGACGAGGGCAAGGTGTGTCAAACCTGGGAGAAGGTGCTCCTCACACCCCTGCAGCCAGGAGGATGGTAAGGTGTGTCAAACCTGGGAGAAGGTGCTCCTCACACACCTGCAGCAGGAGCTTGGCCCCAGCTCAGCCTTTGCTGGTGCTTTCTGTGGCATGAGCCTGGTTACACCCCAGGCTGGACTGAATTCCCGAACCCACAGGTGCTTCATTCTCCCTGCTCGTCTGCTTGTCGCACGCTGCATCCCTGGTTTGCTCCCTCACGGTGTCCCCAGCTCCCCTGCTCCACCGTGCCCTCCCCAGCTCACTCACTCCGTCTCTGTGCCTTCTGTTCCTCCTGAAAGGCACAGGTAAGAGCCTCCCTGTGCCTGGAGGAGATCAAGGGTTGCCTGCGGATCAAAGGCCTCCTCGCGGGCTGCTGCGGAGCCCCGGGGCGCTGGCAGCCGGCTTCCCGGCGGCGCTGGTGCCGGGAGCCGCCGGGAGCGGCCGCGCTCCGCCGCCCGCGGGGCTCGGTCCCTGCGGGTGCCTGACCCTCACAGGATGAGTACTGGCAGTGCTCTTTGAAGCACAAAAACGATCCTGCTGGCTCGGCGGAGAGCTGCCGGGCCCTGGGGAGCCTCGTTTGAACGGCGCTGTGTGGAAGTAAAGGGGTTCTGCAAATCCCCTCGAGTCCACCGGGCAGGGAGCAGAGATGGGGGCACGGGGATGGCAGAGCCCTGTTCATCCCACGGCATGGCCATGGGGCAGGAGCTGGCCCCACTGGAGAGGGGCAGGAGCTCTGCCCTTAGTGCCAGCCCAAACGCCCTTCCACAGTGCCCCGGCTCCTGCACATCCCTTCCCTCGGGGCTCAAAGCCTCTTAGCAGTGTTCCCAGCATGGGTATCCCCTGCTTGGCACCCAGCTGGGTGCAGGACTGCCTGTGCAGACGGGAACTGATGGGAACATTCACCCCTGCTGAAAGGTCAGAGGAGTGATGAGTGCCTTGGCATCCACGGACATCTCCTCTTGCTCTGCAGGAAGATTTTATAAAGATATACAGCTCTCCGTGGATTTTATGATATGGTAAAACTGTCTGAAGCCCAAAACGTGTGGAAGGCCGCTGGTTTGAGTGACAAAATGCACACAGTGCCATAAATCATTTCAAGGAGGGCAGGATCCTGGGTGGCACCTTACCTTCAAGTGCTCCTCCATTTACAGAGAATGACTTTGGCCAGCACAGCAGCCAGCTAACCCACTTGGGCTTTGCCAGCTCTGAGCTGCTCAGAGAGCTATGAGATGTTTTATAGGGCTGAAAATGACACTTGCTGGTGAACGGCTGAAATATGTCCCTCTGAAGGCTGTGATGAGCCCCTCGTTAGCTGAATCATCAGCTGTGCTGGCTGGAGGAGGCTGCTGTGCAGAGGGCAGAGCCGTGTCCAAGGCCACCCCTCAGAGCAACAACTCTTCTTTCAAGTTTTTTTCCACTCTCCAGTTCATGAAGGAAGCTTGAAGGGTTTCATGTTCTTTAAAGAGTTGAGTTCCCCTTGGCTGGTATTTTTGAGCGTTACCAGCTTCCAGCCTGTTTGTCCTGAGGGCTCCTGGCCCAGCTGGAGGAGCCCCAGGGGCAGGGCAGCACTGGGCTCTGGGCTGTCTGTGTGCAGCCCTGCTGCAGGAGCAGCTCTGCTTTCTGGTGACCTCACACGCTGCTTGCCTGCCCATCAGGAGCTGCGGGGTGCTCATGGACTCCATCCTCCACCCGTGAGGACCCCAAGGGCCGGGGCTCTGGATGTCCTTTCTGAGGCTGAGGCATTGTCCCTGCTTGGAGAAAACCGCCCCTCCAGGGGTTAACAGCCTCTTCCCCTCACGGCTGGCATGACCCCTGTTTTTCTAGGAACAGTAGAGACTTTATAATGGTCTTGGCAGGATTCTGGAGGAACATATGGCTTTTATTGTTTTTCCTTTTATTTCAGGGGGTATTTAATTCTATTTGCTGATAAGAAGATAAAGTTTCCAGCAAGCAGGGTGCTTCCTCTGCCCAGCAGGAGGGCGGCCTGGCCAGGCTGGAGCAGCTCCAGGACAGTGCAGGGAGCAGACTGGAGATGCCAGCGTGGGAAAGAGGCTGCCTTGGCTGTGCACAGGAATTTTGGAGATGTTCTTAAGAGCCAGCAGAACCCACTGGTGATGGGGTGCAAAGCGGGGCCTCCTGGATGAGCATGGAAATTCAAAGGAAAGCAGGATGAGGGGCAGCAGGCAGGCTGTGGGTTTCAAGGTTAAATGATTCACTTGGGGTGGGGATAAAAAGGGTTCTGGCAGCACTGTGAGGATGCTGCAGCGGGCAGAGATGGTGGGGAGGCACAGCCCTGCTGCCACCCCGACACGCTCAGCACTCACAGCAGTGTCTGGCTGCGGCTGGGAATAAAGGAGCCCAATCCAGTTAGCAGGAGCTCCTCCAGAAGCTAATCCGTCTCACCGTCCCTCACATTGCAGACACATTAAAGTAAGAAATATAATCCATGACAATCAATCACCACTGCGTCCTGGCTTTCTCTCCTCTTTATGCGGTGGCATAATGACTTTTCCACCGGTTTCTGGCAAGATAATTGAAATGAAATGGAAAATATTTTCTTACTTGTCATAAAATTTGCTGCCGGTGAAATAAGAGAAACTTTAACTCTTCATGGCGTAGCTCCCATCCCCTGTAATTGTCAACTGGGGAAAGAACGCGGTGACAGGGGAAAAAACCAGCCTGCATGAAGTAAAAGCTAGTTATGAATAATACAAAGATTTCTAAAAGTCCCATGAATACCTGTGGTCTGAGAAAATGCATTTTGTGAAGTTGCCTGCGTTTTGGAGAGCTGTTAAAAGTTTCAGCGAGTCAAGGGGAGGGGGACAGCTCCGTCTGGGGAAGCAGCGCTCTGAAATGCCGGATCAAAGAGTTTTTACTTACTTTTCTGGGCGCTGGGTTCCAGAGGTACTTGACACCAAAAAATATCAGAATAAGGGCAAGGAGCAGCAGGCTGAAGAGCAGTCCGCAGAGCTGGTACCTGGGGCAGCCCTTCTTGCGCGGCTCTGCCTGTTGAACGAGAAGGCAGCGCTGGCCGGGCGTGCCGGGGCTCGGCGGGAGGAGGGCACGCGGGGACCGCAGGGACACTGCGGGCACCCAGGGGTGCCGGGACATGCAGGGACACTGCGGGCACCCAGGGGTGCACGGAGAGCAGGGACACTGCTGGCACCCAGGGGTGCCGGGACATGCAGGGACACTGCTGGCACCCAGGGGTGCACGGAGCGCAGGGACACTGCGGGCACCCAGGGGTGCCGGGACATGCAGGGACCGCAGGGACACTGCTGGCACCCAGGGGCGCACGGAGAGCAGGGACACTCCTGGCACCCAGAGGTGCACGGAGAGCAGGAACACTCCTGGCACCCAGAGGTGCACGGAGAGCAGGGACACTCCCGGCACCCAGGGGTGCACGGAGCGCAGGGACACTCCCGGCACCCAGGGGTGCCGGGGCAAGGCAAGGTGAACTCACGTCCAGAAAGCGGCAGTGCTCCGGGCTGCGCCCCGCCGTCCCTCCCATGTCTCCGCCGTGTGCGCGGAGCCAGCCCGCTCCGAGGAGGAGTCACGGAGCCTCCGGCTGCACACGCGGTGGGAAGGCTCGGCCACGGCCACCCCCACGGGGGCACAGCCAGCTGTCCCCAGCGCTGCTGTCCCCCGCGCTGCCGGCTGTCACACACGGCCGGGGTCACGCTTCTCTGATCTCTGCTTCTGCCCCATGCTTCGGCCCATGTGCCAGGCTGGAGGTGCCCAGAGTGCCCGTGCCCCATGAGCCTGGGCACAGGGACACTGCTGTCCTGTCCTTGAGTGTGTGGGAACAGCCCGGCAGCTGCCAGCGGGGTCCCGGCATGGCAGGGGACACGGCATGGCAGGGACACGGCATGGCAGGGAACACGTGTGTGCACACAGGTGTGTGTGCCATGTGCACAGGTGTGTGTGCCACGTGCACAGGTGAGCAGGCTGTGCACGGCCATGCAGTGTGCCCACGTGTGCAGCCCGTGTGTGGGGTGAGCCCTCAGCTCTCCCTCTCGTGCACAGCCTTACCCCAAAGTCAGCCCAGCCAGGAATTTCCTGACTAATTTTTTTCTTTCTTTTTTTCTAGGTTCAAAAATTTCCATTGGTTGAAATCGTAGCATTTCTTCATGGAAATGAACCCATCTTAAGAAAGGATGGCATGGCAGGGGACACGTGTGTGCCCACAGGTGTGTGTGCCACGTGCACAGGTGTGTGTGCCACGTGCACAGGTGAGCAGGCTGTGCACGGCCATGCAGTGTGCCCACGTGTGCAGCCCGTGTGTGGGGTGAGCCCTCAGCTCTCCCTCTCGTGCACAGCCTTACCCCAAAGTCAGCCCAGCCAGGAATTTCCTGACTAATTTTTTTCTTTCTTTTTTTCTAGGTTCAAAAATTTCCATTGGTTGAAATCGTAGCATTTCTTCATGGAAATGAACCCATCTTAAGCAAGGCTTTCAGAAATCCAGCGTGAGGTTTCTGGTCTGAACAGGATGAGGTTCCCTGGTGTAGAAGAGCTGGCATGGACTTTTTTTCCAAGCTGTTTACTCTAATAAAAACCCAAAGTGCATCATGCACTAATTAAAATTGCACTGAAAAAAGAAAATCCACATCGAATTTTGCTCAGGATGAGAAATGGAGAAAGAAATTGCTTTTAGCAGGTCTGGCACTGGCTTTGTGAGCAATGGGATGTTGCTGCCTGCAAGCAGGGGTAAATCCTGGAGGGACAGAAGTGGAGATTCTGAATGGCCTGGGGAGAGCACTGTGCACGTGTGTGTGCTGGGGGCTGTGCCTGGTGTGTGTCTGCTCCCGGCAAAGGGGTTTGGGCTCCCTGGCCCCAGAGCTCCTCACCCCACAGCCCCTCAGCAGTGCCAGGGGTGTGAAACACCCTCGGGGGGTTTAATATTTCAGATGGTAATAACAGAAGGGAATCATACTGACAAGGTTATTTGGAGGAGAAAAATCCCCCTTTTAATGGAAAGCAAGCACAGGCAGCCTTTGAAAACATCTGAGAAGTTTTGGAAATCTAAATGCAGCAAATCTGTGCAGACACCGGGTTTGTCTGTCTGCGCTTCCCAGCAGAAAGTTCCATCTCGGAAGCTTTTGTCATTCACTGGAAACTCAAGTATTTGAAAACATTTTCTTTTCTTGTCAAAATTAGAGTTTCAGAGGAAAACTTTGGAGCAGCTCTACTGAAAGATGGTTCTGATTACAGGAAAGAATTACAGCAGTGCTGCTAAGCAGACATAATTGATCAGCAGATCTTCACCATATCCCCCACTCAAGGCACAGGAAACACTGCAAATACCACTCATAAACCAAATTAGGCATTATTATTTTATTACTGTTGTAAGGAAAATGTCAAGCTTTTTAATGGCAATCACTGTAACTCCATCAGGAGCCGGGTGTCTGAATTAGCTGCAAGAGGTGAGGAGCTCCCAGGGCTGGGAGTTAATAAAACTCAATAAATATCACAGGCCCCTTCCAGCGCTGGCAGTGCCAGGGATGAGAGGCCAGGGTGGGTGGTGGGGGCGTGGGGATGCTGTGGCTGGGCTGGAGCCCTGCTGCTCCTGCAGGGCTGGGCACGCTGCCCCGGAGGGCTGGGGGCAGGGGGTGGGCACTGCCCCCACGGGCACACGCACACACCCAGCCCCAGGCCAGCTCAGCACGGAGTGGGCTGGCCCACGGAGGGCAGGGAGCAGGCTGAGAGCCCCCCACACTGCTGCTCTGCACAGATTGCTCTGAACAGCCAGCTTGCATCAGGGCTCTGAGAGCAGCGAACCCCTGGGCAAGCCCTGGTGTCCCCTCTGCACCCTGGCTGTGCCACAGCCACTGGACCCTGGCAAGGAGACACATGGGATGCAGAGAGGGGCAGAAACTGCAGGATGACACTCATGAAAATGTTGGTTTTGTTTTTCCCCCATTCCCTCATGCTCTAGCTCAGACTTCAGGGTTTCAGAGGCAAAAAAAAAAAAAGAAGTATTTTTTATGAAAAGACAATAATTTTGGGGGAAAACCTCTTAGTGTCCTGAAGATGACAAGCAGGTTCTCTATATAAAAAGCAGTTCTGATGAAAATCTCCCATCAATGCCAATGGAGAGGGAACAATTACTAATTTTCCATGAGGCTAATGAGAGCGAGTGTATATGACAGGGGAGAATTTAATCTGATGTGAACTGAGGAAGAGAAGCAATACTGATATTAATGTGTGACTAATTGATACCCAGAAGAACATTTGAAATGATTAAAAGGCATTTGATTTTTATACAGGACAATAAGAGGCTCATTGGCTATGACTGGTGCATCCTTTCAGTTTTCTACTCCGTGTTCCAATTTGCCCAGAAAAATCTATCATATCTGCAGCGTAGCTTGACTGCCGCATAAAATCCCTGTGCCTGGAAATGTTACACCAAGAAATTCCTCCTGGACAGCACAAAGGATTGTACACGCTGTGAGCGGGGGTGAGCAGCCTGGCAGAAATAAAATAGGTCCCCAAACCACTAAAAAGCAGCTCCTCAAAGCAGTGGGGTTTGGGCAGCAGCCTCCAGCTGAAAGCCCCTCGTGATTAATATCGTGCTCTTTGTTATAATGAAAAACCCATTAAGGTCAGTGGCAGCATCTCTGAGCAGCACTAAATTGGAACGATGGAGACAGTAAAGTTAAAAATGAGCCATAATATTAATGTGGATAGTGAATTAATTGGGCAATTCCATAGGTAGTAAGTAAATCATATCATTTACTGTGGCACATGGTGCCAGGCAGCTCTCAGTGCTGGCAGTGGTGACACCTGCTCCTGGATGGGGCCAGAGGAGCAACACAGAGCCCAGCACCCCAGGGACCCCTCTGTGCCCACCTCCACTGCAGCCCTTGTCCTTGTCTGCCACGGGGAGATCTCAGTAGGGAAAATGCCTCTTGCTTTGCTCTTTTTGCTGCTGCAGCCCCAAGCACGTCCTGAGTGCTGGCTGGCTGCATGGCTGAAGTGCTGCAGCCCTGCTCCGAGGTGCTTTTCCCTCCATCCTCAGCTGTGCTCTCTGCATCCCTTTGCAGCTGCACCCACGAAGTGTTCCCAGCCTGTGGCAGGCTGTGGGCACGGCTGCTCCTCTCTTTGGGTGGGCCTCTCAGGAAAGGCTTCCTTAGCCCAGAAGATGTGCAGGACCACCAGGCAGCCCTCGACTGTGCTGCTGCTGCTTTTGTGCCTTGTGCCGGGATGCATTTGGGGGCCAAGGGCAGGGATTTGTCCATGGCACAGCACTTGCAGCATGTGGCTCAGGCTGAGGGTTCCCTCTGCATTTCCAGCATTATGGACAGCAAACAGACAAAGGGAAAAATCACATATAAAATAAAGGTGCTCATCAGCCAGTGCCTGATTGCTCAGGATGTCTTTGCTTCAAGCCATCCAATTTTTGGTAACATTTGCCAGATGAGAGGACGTGTGCCTCCTCTTCTCAGCCAGCCTCAGCCGAAGGTTTCAGTAAGAGAGGCTTCAGTAATTGGCCTATTCATCATTCATTGTTTATCTTAAGTTCACATCGTTGTAGGGAACTCCAGAGACATCCTTGATTCAAGTTAAGAAACTTAATCATGATGATAAAAGTGCTCAGGGAGCTGGAGTTCGTGTTGGAGGCGCACGTGGCCATGTGGCACTCCAGCAGCTGCTACTCACAGCAAATTACTCAAAACTGACAAAGCTTTGGGAGAGAACAGAAAAAGATAAATTCGTGGTGGCCGTTGTGACGGGGGCGCCCAGAAAGTTATTACAGCAGACATGAGCTTCCCCTGCTCACAGCCCATGAAAATCCCACTCCCGTGAGCTCCGGGACAGCCGCCTCGCGCTGCTCTCGCGGCTCCCTCGGCAACAGAAGTTATTAACAGCGCCGGAGAATTGTATCCAAATGCCAGTTTCATCTTGATAAATAACAATTTCATGTCTCTGTTCTACCAGAAGACTGCACAGTTTTACTTCAAGCACTTAACTTGCTCCGAAATGCTTCCCCATGCACGAGGCTTAGCTCAGCTGTGGAATGTGAGCTGAGCAGTTTTTATTTTCACCGGGCTCTGAATACCTGTAATGCAAAGAGCAAACCCGTAATCCTGCACTACCATAAGTCACTTTTCCCAATAAACAGCTGCTTCCTACTGGGACAGCTAACGTGTAATTGAAAGCTCCGTGTGTGTTGGTGCCACACCGAAAAGCCTTCTATTAAAAATAGTTTGAGGGTTGTTAAGGAATAGTCTGCAGCTCCTCTGGGATGTGCAGGAAAGGAGAGCAAGAAGAGGATGACCTGGGGATGATGGCTTGGTGTCTCCCCCTGCCCTGCAGGGATCTGCCCCTGTTGCCCACCACCCAAAACCACCACGGGCTGTTACTGGTTCCCTGCTCACGGATGCTGGCAGCAGTTAATTGCCAGCCTGCTTCATTAGCAGCAGGCAGTTTGGTGATGACCGTCTGAGGGGCAGGAGGTGGCTGAGGCTGGCCTGGCTGCCCGCAGAGGTGCAGCTGTGGGGCTGCAGGTGTGGGGCTGCAGGTGT